TGGATTTATCTCTCTGCTCTCCTGATCTAGTTTCCTCTCTGTCATGGACTGTACTTCCCTTTTCTCATGGTAGTGATCACTTCCCTATCATAATCTCTTCCTCTGTACCTACAAGAGTTCAAAATCAATTTAATCCCAGATTAAAATATAACATATCTAAGGCAAACTGGCCGGAATATGCTTCTGTACTGGACCAAAAGATATTAAATTTCCCTCAACTACATATTGAGAATGTCCTTCTAGTCTACAATAAATTTCGAAATGCTATTCTATCTTCTGCTGACCTGACTATTCCTATTAAAAAACCTAGAACAAAAAATCTGCCATCTCCCCCTTGGTGGGACCAGGACTGTTCTGCAGCATGTAAAAAAAGAAAGGAAGCTGAACAACAATATTCATCCTCAATGACAAGGGAAAACTATATTTCATATAAGAAAACAGCTGCTCAAACTGTAAAACTATTATCTGAAAAGAAGCGGTCAGGATGGTATAGATTTTGTTCTTCACTATCACCTTGCACACCTCTCTCTCTTGTATGGAAAAGTATAAGAAAATTCAAATGTGCTATGTCAGATGATCATAATATAACTTCTAATGACCATTCACTTGGGCTGAAGAATTTTCCCATAAACTTGCTCCTCTATCAGCTCCTTCATATGAAGAGTGTATCACATATCATTCCTCTTCCATTCAATTCCATGATAAATTTGACCTTCCCTTTTCTTACCAGGAATTAGCTACTGTACTCCAGGGCCTTAAAGACTCTTCTCCAGGGATTGATGGTATCCCTTACTCCTTTATTGTTAACAGTAGTGAAAATACTAAAACCCTTTTCCTTAATATTTTAAATAACATATTTATTTCAAGTGTCCCACCTAAAGAATGGAAAGAGCAAATCATTTTACCCATTCTTAAACCAGGAAAACCTAGTCATGATCCATCAGCATATAGACCTATTGCTCTGTCATGTACCATGGCAAAGATCTTGGAACACCTGATTAAAAATCGCTTAGAATGGTTTTCTAGAAAGCAAAGATGTTTTACCAAGAAGTCAATTTGGATTCAGAAAAGGCCTTAGTACTATGGACAGCCTCAGTACATTAATTACAGACATCAGAATAGCTCTCTCTAAACATAACTATCTTGTAGGTATATTCCTTGATATTTCATCTGCGTATGATAATGTACTTCTTCCAGTGCTCAGGCAGAAAATGCTAAAGCTGAGTATTCCTGTGAGGATTGTAAATTTTGTTTGTAATTTTCTCTCTTCTAGATTAATCCATATAAATATTAAAAATTCTATGTTGTCGCCTAGACATATTTGGAAAGGTCTTCCCCAAGGATCAGTCCTCAGCCCTCTCCTCTATACTATTTACACCTATGATTTAGAACTATCTGTTAATTCATTTTGTAATGTCCTCCAATATGCAGATGACCTAGCCATGTACCTACCAATAGATAACCTTTCTAAAGCCTGTACCCTTCTAAATTCTTCCATGCTATATCTTCAAGAGTGGCTAACTGACCATGGTCTATGTTTGTCTGCCTTAAAGAGCAGTATAGTAATCTTTTGCCGCCATAAGAGAGTACCTGATATCTTAATCACTTATGATGGCCACCCTATCCCCAATAGAGACAAGGTGAAATTTTTAGGCATAGTTTTGGATAGAAAGTTATCCTTTACTCATCATATAGATTACATCTCTAAAAAATGTGAGAAAAATATTAATATCATTCGATCCCTTTCTGGTGTATGGTGGGGTTCCCATCCATATTCCCAGAGATTATTATATAATGCTCTTATCCGTAGCTATATAGATTACGGTTCTTTCCGCATGGAGCCCATGCAGTAAATCATCCCTCAAAATTTTAGATAAGATTCAGTACAAATGCCTCCGTATCATCACAGGAGCAATGAAAACTTCTCCAATTAATGCCCTTCAAGTGGAGTGTGTTGAACCACCACTCTACTTAAGGAGACAGTACCTTTCTGATAGATTCCTCTTTAAACTATATCAGCTTTCATGCCATCCACTTATCCCCAAATTGCACATCCTATCGGAATTTGTGTCTACAAGTGATTACTGGGTCCACAAAGATTTGCCATGTTTGTTTAAGAGTTTTGTTTCAGTTCTTCAAATTCCTGGTGATATTTTTTCTTGCAAAGTCAACCCCTTATTTGATACTCCTTATGAAGCTGTTATTCATCAACCTGATGTCCACTTGGACCTCAACATTGAAAAAAAATGATCCTATGGCAAATTTAAAATTGAAAAGGTTATTAGATCAATCATGGCTAGATTGGCTTGTAGTCTATACTGATGCTTCCAAAATTTCAGATGATCTCTGTATAGGTGCATCAGTCTGGATACCCAAGTTTAAAATCATTTTAAAATATAGTTGTCCCCCTTTATGTTCCATTTTCACTGGTGAGGCAACAGCTATTTATGAAGCATTAACATATATAGAGTCACATAACCTTCACAAGACTATTATTCTCACTGATTCCAAAAGTTGTTTACAGGCTATTCTATCTAACCAATTTCATAGTAAATTTAAAATCCCCTTAATTTTAAAAATTAAAAATGTTCTTTTTAGATGTTTTACGAAAGGAATCCATGTCACTTTGGCATGGATACCTGGCCATACTGGGATTCATGGAAATGAAACAGCTGACACATGTGCTAAGGATGCAATATCTAATGGTATTCCATTAGCCATGACTTATTCTCATGATTTAGTATCACTCGCTAGGAAATTGCTAGTTAATAAGTGGAAGGGCTTGTGGGAAGTTTCACAAATTTCAAAGGGTAAACATTATGCCTCCATACAAAGTATTATCCCAAGTAAACCCTGGTTTTCTAAATTTAATAAAGCTAGCAAGCGCTCAACCTCAATTGTCTGTCGCTTAAGGTTAGGTCATGCATGTACATACGTCCATCTCGCCAAGATCAGGATTAGGGATAATTCACTATGCGAATGCGGTTTAGACGAGGGAAATACAAATCATATTTTCTTCGACTGTCCTAAGTTATCCAATTCCCTCTATGACCTCCTCCCCCCTTATATCCCGCGTCCTATAGACTTCAACTCCCTATTATCCTATACAAACACCTCTTTTGTTTATATTCTGTGTGATTTTATTAACGCTAATAACATTAAGCTATAAGTGTCTGTCAATATTAACACACTAATTATATTTGTTTTAACATAATTGTTTGTCTTTTGTTTTAGGTAATTCAACAGAGTAGTATTATCAAAATTTATTTCTATTTCGTCCTAAAATATCACAATCTCCTCTCTTTTTTCGCAAAGTAAATTTCTTCTCTAAAGGAAAAGAAAGAAGAAGAAAAATATTCAACTAAGCAATTAGGGAAAGTATGATTATTAAACTGATAAAACATCTTTCACATGTCATTGGCGAATCCATAAAAGCGCCATAAAGGAACTATACAGTCGAGGAGAAGAAGAAGAAACACTGTATTTTGAGTCCAAAAGAGCCGGTATTTGTATATATTTGAAATAAAATACAAAGAGCTGTTTAAATTTACGTCTATACTTTTTTACACCTACCGCCGAAAAAAAAAAAAAAAAAAAAAACTACTACTACTGGGTACTAGATAACTGATAAACATACTTTTCTATTGTAATTAAAAACATATTATAAATATATAAACACTAAGACGCTGGAAAAACACTATGATCGTCACACAATATTTTACCAGTAGTGGGGATCGAACCCACACCCTCTGGGCAAGAGGCACGGTCACTACCCACTATGCCAATCGGAACGTCATGATCAACCACAGATACAAAGACACCCAGAGCGAAGACAGTTTTTAAATTGTCCCGCGTGAACTACGAAGGGTAAAGGCATCCCCTGTCAGGGAATTAGGGCGTTATCCGCATCATGTGCGATTTTTGGTTGAGAAATTTTGCCTAGCGAGCAACCAATTCAACTGATGATTAATGATTACCGCCGCCTATGAATATCTACAGCGCCCGACGGGTTGCAAATGTTTTATCACGAAAAAGTGGTCCCCGGTCACCTCACTCACCACATGAGATGCGAAAGTGTCATATATGCACTTCACGCCGGTGAAGCCAGCCTGCCCAATCGTGCAACCGTCGACTGTTGCGTGGCCCTACCAATTGGAACCGTGACTTTAGGTAATCTTTTTTTAAGGCGAGAAGGCGGCAAGCGAGTGAGTAGGTAAAGGTTGTACTGCGTGAAGTGGAAGGGTTTTACTTTTGCTGGTGAGTGAGGTAACGAGCTCCCGGGAAATGGTTACCCCGCTCAAGTGCCACAACTAAGGGGATATGTAAAATTCTTTACTTTTCTGTTACTCTTAACACCCTATTTAAGTCCCACTGCTGAACAAGACGCACTGTCAACTACGCGATTCTTACATAAGCGGACTTTACACATGTTCGAATTATTTTTTATAATTAATATTTCACTTATATGCAGATTTCCACACGATGTGTACCTTCACTGCTGAGCATGTGATAAGTTAGCAATTACAATTGCAATAAAATAATATTTTGCCCCCATGAAAAATCACTTTTTGATGGGTTGCAGTAAACAAGTTTTCTTAGGTCTTAATACTAATAATGCAAAAGAGGCCTTTGCCCAGCAGTGGAACTTGTGTAAGCTGTAGCCATTAAGGCATTACATCTAATTCGTTTATCTCTACCCTGTCTGTTGGAAGACCACTCGTTGACGCAATTGCTAAACTATTGTTGGGGGTCGTGGGTTCGTTTCCCACACGGGGGATGGAGCCGCAGATAATGATGGATCCGGACATGGGAGTTTGGGAGTTTGTTCCCAAGGAGTGTTGTAGTCAGGCAAGCAGTCAATCATAAAAAAAGCTATTAACAATATAATTCACCGCGACCCTTATCCCACTGAGGTGGCTAAGTGTGATAAGGGCAGGAAAAAAAAATAACCCTTTCTGTTGGTAAACCAGATAAGTCGTCCGTCGTCGATCACAACTCACCAAAGATGCAAAGAGCAGACAGTTAGATAGGGGCACTTGGCACATGCAGTCTCTCTGTGCACCGGCTCTGGTAGCCTTTGAAACTTGTCCTCCGCGATGTCACTGTCATCGTCTGCAATATTTTAAGTTATTTGTTTAAAACGACTCCCTCATTAGACAAGATGCGGAGATTTAAAACACATGAAACCACAGACACAAAGACAACAAGCATTGCTAAAAGTTTTAAAGTTGTCCCGTGTGAACAATGTAAATGGTAAAGGCGTCCTATTTCTCTCCTCTGTATTAGAGAATTATCAATTCCATGTGAACTTTTTTAACTTGAACAGTTGGCTACCAAGCAAGCGGTTCACCTGATGTTAAATGATTACCACTGCCCATGGATGTCTACAACGCCTGAGGAGAAAATGCGTTGCCAACATAAAATAAGAGGGCCCCGGTTACTCCACTCACCAGACGAAACGCCAAAGTATAATACAAGCTTCCACTTCAGTATTCACACTTCTTGACACAAGTATTGGTACTTCCCCGGACGAGCCTGCCCATTCTGGCAAAAGCAGAGCCAAGCAAGGCCTGATGAACGCTGCTGACAGTGTAATTCGTGTAGCTGAATTATGGGCCGATACCGTCTGAAGAATATTCATTTTTATTTTAAAATTAAAGCAGCAGATAGATAAAAATGGAATACAAAAGAGAGTTTGTAGTGTAATTGCTAAGCGGGGGGTTGTTGGTTCGATTCTCACACGGGACAAGTATCCGATATCAGATAATCGATCCGGATCTGGGTGTTTGTTCCCAAGGGTTGACGTTAGGCAAGCGGCCGCTCGTTTAATCCTAGCCGAAATTAATTTACAACATGATTCACATGCTGTGCTGACCCCATCTAGGTGGGATAGGGACAGGATGATGATTACGATATGACGTAATAGGGTAATATTAACGAACGTACGAACCCATTCTGCCGGACTTCGTAGTCAAATACTGCACCAGCTGGTTTCTCAGCATTACGAGGTCCCTACGCTCGGGATAACCACAGCTCACTTCCCGGATCTCCACACGTTCTCTGTTAACATATGTATTCGATAAACAGGATAAAATTGAGAAACTTACACTCAATATCTAGTTGACAGTAAATGTTTAGGTTTGCGTGTTAATTTAATTTAAAATGGTGAGAAATTTTGAGCTTTCATAGTTTTATGTTTGCGTAAATTTTAAACGTGTTTTATGTTTTGTATACCTATATTATTATGTAAACTGATTTAGACATTAGAGATTTCCTTTTCCGTTGTATTTTATGTGACGATTTGTGGGAATGCCGAAGTCCGATTCGTATTTCTTAACCGACTTCAAAAAAGACAGAGGTTTCTCATTTCGACCGTATATATATTTTTTTATGCGTGTTCGCGTCAATAAGTTAATTATTTTCGTTTATGAACCGATTTTAATGATTATTTTTTGTTGGAAATGAGTTATCCCAAGAGTGGTACCATGATAAGGAAGCCCGGATCTATGAATGTTATAGAAATTGACAATCACAATGTCATCACGAACAATTTTAATCGTAAATTTCTATGAGCACCCACTTCAAATAGAGCAGCAACCCCCGCTGCAGCGCCGTAGTGGGGTCCTCATCCCTCAGCACGCTCAGCATCATCCCGTAGAGCACAAGTTGCCCCCTGTGCTCCACGGATCCCGACGCTCTGCCGCTTTTTATCTCGAGCGGAACTATTGAGCGTTGCTTGCCTAAAATAAGCGGTCTCGTTTCACCCAAACGGAACAGAGATGGCATAGGCAACTTGAGACCGATGTATTACGTTGTTGCACTTTTTAATTGTTTTATACCTCACCATCGAATGATAATATTCATATAAATCTTTCAATATTCATATCAATTCATATCAATTAGTTTTAAGATATAAGCGATAGTGTAATACATATCCCCAAGCTTCGGCAGCGATAGCTGCTGCCGTCAAAACAAAATAACGGCAACAATTACCTTGTCGTTCATGAATGGTGACTTCCAATGTGGCGTCTATTTTCCCCTTTAAACCCAATTTTGGACAGCACAGGTTCTCCTCTATATCCAAAACGTTTTCTATACGTCCAGGCCAGTTATTTTGAGCAGTTTGCTGGAAACAACGATAAATTGGTTTATGGTCCTTTGAGTCGGATACAGAAGTATCAAATATTTTTAATAGGTTTATTACCATGTTTTGAATTGGCTTATCAGCTACGTACTTATTCATAAATTCGCTAAGCGGTATTATATACATTTCCATGTTCGAGCGGGCTTCATCTTCACTAAGGCCGGCATCAAACAACATCTGCGTAGATTCCTTAATGATTTTATCAGTTTCTGACCGCAAGAGCTCAATACTCAGGATGCGCTCAGTGAGCGCCTTTTGTACCAATTCGTGTATCAGAATACCAACTGTCATCTGCAATTAAATATATGCAAAAGTGTCTAAAATTTATGTTAGCAACATCATTTTGATACTAAAGCAAAACATTGATAATGACTTGTAGATGCTATACCAAAGAAATAATCATTTACTCCTAATTTGGAGTCCCCTATGTGAAAGCTATGTCTCTACCCTATGCCAAAAGTTGTCTAAAGAGAAATAGAAAGCTGTCTTAGTAGAGACAACAGATTACATACCGCAATGTTGGCAGAATCGATGCCTCGCCAGCGCTCTTGTAAAACAGCCTTTCTTTGGCAGAACACTCCAGCAACAACGCTTGTGGATGAGAGCAAATAATCAGGTCTAAACACTATAAGCCCCGATGTGCTGTTTACGTGAAATCGCCCTGACGAATCACACGTAGCTAAGATACTTACTATATCTCCTCTCTGAATATTCAGGCACAACCTAGCAATGTGTTATATGGAAAAATTTATTATTGAATTTAAAAAGATTTTTATACATGTACAACAGCTAAATCATAGCACATGTTTTGTTAATTTAAACATGATGTATTCTTACCAACTTCCTTCAACAAGACAGGTAGTACTTAAATTATCACTCTGTAATCCTAATTCTAGTGTTGTTTTAATGAGTTTCACAGATGTTACCTCACATCGTTGCATAGTGGTCAAGTCAAGGTTATCTGACAATTCCTGGAAAAATATAGTGTTGGCAATTCTTATTTCTTTTGTTAAATCAATTTTTGAAAACGAGGTCCTTCTCCACCAGAGCACCAGCAGTCTTCGCTAATGCACGAAAGGGCAGGTCCGTCCGAGAAAATACCACAACCTCACATGAGACCGGTGTGAAGTGGAAGTGTTATACTTCTGCATTTTTTCTATTGAGTGAGTTAACAGGTAGCACTAGCAAAGCATTTGTAACCCTACCGGTGTTGTAAAACTCCATGTGCGGTGGTTATCACATAATTTTACATGAACCGCGAGCTCGCTTCTTACAAAAAAAAGATAAATTATATGCAATATTTTTTTTTATCAATTTTACTGAATATTTAACTACAGCTTTAAAAAATTTATTGTTTCTCATTATTCATGTTATGTTACCAAATATTTTACTCAAAAAATTAAAAACTAACAATTCATCCAAAATAAAAAAAAATATATAAACCTCTGGAACATTGTCAATATCCCACTCATAAGCAAATAAATCATTGACATCATTTTCACATAGCTCTTTCGATTTTATTGTTGTGCCTGATTTTGATGGGGAAATTTCAGGTGATTTATAAGTCTTCAGGTTACTTGCCTCTTCACAATCAACAACTGACACTACAATAAACAAGAACGGAAAGGATCTTATAATATAACTAAATAAATATTGAAATATTCATTTTATATCGATAAAAGAGGAATACTAAAATAATACATAAAAGTAACTAACCACTACAATATTTATTGGGACTTATAATAACATTTTTGTTGATTGACCTGGAAATTGAATGGTCAAATTCTACAGTCATTTTTAATGATTTTACTTCTAAAATATTTTCACGATTCTCATTTTCTTTTATATCATAATTATTATTTTTATAATTATCACATGTGCTTATAATATCAGTGTCCACACAAGGTAAAGGTGTGTTTTTATATTTGTTATTGAATTTCTCTTCATCTTCTAAAATATTTTGAGCTTTTTTTATTAATACATTGTTACTATCATTATACTTTGCTGTATTATTTTTTTGTTCAACTTTACTGTGTGTATTTTCTAATTTGTGCTTTTTAGGTGCAAGTTTTAAAGGGCTTTTGCTGTTTTGGGTATTATTTGGAAAACTTGTTGTCTCATGATTAAAATCTAATTTTGGAGGTGAAACAGCTTTGCGTTTTGTAGGTTTCAAGTCTGAAGCTGTTGTCTTAGGCAACTCTTTTTTTTTGATAGATGTTTGTATTTGTGTACCATTAATATCAGAATTTTTAAAAAAATGTGTTATAGCTCTCTGATTATTAGAAGCCTCTTTGTTATTCTGAAATAAAAAAGAAAAATAACAGTATTAACTTGTATTAATTTGTGTCTCACGTTAGAAAATTAAATATTCTTCTTTAAATTAATTATTCTATTAATTTAATTTTCTAATGCGAGACATTTGCGGTTGAACCGTAAACTTTTTATTTTTAATATAGCAGCTAACGAAAGCTAATATAAAAAATAAATAATGAAAAATTTATCTAACAATAGTTTACCTTCTTTAAACTCAATAGTTTCGGCATTTCTGCGGCGAAGAATTTGGTCTTAAAAATTGTGCAATAAATGTGCAATTTCTTACACCAATCTCTTATATTTTACTGCTATTACACCATACTATGTGTTATTTCCACGTCTTTTACCGACCAATAGTGGGAATATTTAATAACGAAATTAAAAATATAATATTTACATTGTACAATCTTGATTTCCCATTTCCCGCGTTTCAAATATGAATTTATTATCGTGTAAACTAACGTCACTGTCACTGTCATCTTTGGTCGTATTTCAGTATATATGTATTATGTATGGTATTGTCATAGGTTGGTTTGTTTTTTAATTTTTTTTCTGTTCGAACTTCTTTAAATACTACTGATTTGGATGTACTCCTGAAAGTTGACCTAAGGAATACTTCTAACTCCATTGATAGAACGACGCTGCTGAACGAACCAGAAATATATCATTATGTTTGGCAATGTTACAGTGAAAAGAGTAATTTATTTTATGAAGACAATAGTATTGATTTTGCTGTCGGCGTTCAGCAAGGAGATCCGCTAGGACCAGCATTATTTAGTTTAGGAATTCATCCCATTATTTTAATATTGAAATCTAAACTTAGTGTCTGGTACCTAAACGATGGTACACTGGGAGGTAAAGTTGACAATGTACAAAGTGATCTTATCGAAATTATTAGACAATTTAAAATATCGGTCTCGATTTACATAATTCCAAATATGAACTTATCTTTTCCGAAAAGATTTCTTTTTCCGGCAAAATAATTTTTACCAAAAATTTTAGCTCTATCAGAAATTAACGTAGTCCGTTCAGATTCACTTTATCTCTTAGGTGCTCCTTTGTTTATACCAAGTTTGGAACCTCATTTAAAATTAAAGTTAAATAAATTTTTAGATCATGTTAACAAATTGATTTTACTAAATTCGCATATTGCGCTTACTATTTTGCGACATTGTATTCTTGTACCTAAATTTATGTACCTCCTTCGCTCGAGTCCAGTTTGGAAATGCGGTGACTTTTTGAGCGAAATTAATTTCCATCTTAAATCAGCTCTAGAAAAAAATTCTAAATTTATCTCTTAATGAATTAAGCTGGACTCAGCTACGCTGCCAGTTCGTTTTGGTGGTGTCGATGTAAGGAAAATTTCTATTGTCGCTCTACCTGCCTTCCTTGCTTATCGTAAATAATTTATGTAATAGTAATATCCTTGATCAAAATTCAGAACTTTCCTATGCCGAGGAGGCACGGATGTCATGGCTGCCTATCTGTTTCAACAGAAATATCCCACTGGAAGTAAGCTGTAAGCTCATTGTCCTTTCAGACTTTCCGACGAAGCTGTCAAAGTCACGGCTACCAGAAAACTACATTTACACAAAAATAATCTTAAAACTCAGACATCAGATGAACTTATAAAATCAGATGTTCGTTCGAATTCTGAGCTATTGATACATGATTTTTTTTGCTTTTTTATAGATAATGGTACGGAACCTTTTGTACGCACGCGCATTCCGACTCGCACTTGGCCGGTTTTAATAGACCAATCACATTTAATGTTTTACAGTTTCAATGACAATATAAAGTTTGTCAGTTGATGTCAATCTGTCAAACTTTGTATTAATGTCAATTGTCAATCAATATCAATAAACTTAAACAGAGCTATCAATATCATGTCATGTGTTAACTGTTATTGTGAAAATTTAGGTTATGCTTAAGGAAATTGGCCAAAATCAGTAACAACTTGTATTAAATATAACTAAAATGTCGAAAAGACCAGAACATCAAGCTCCACCAGAACTTGTAAGCCATTTCCTGTTTTGTCCTTATTGAAGAAAAACATTCACAACAACTTGTTAATCAATAAAAAAATAATTTATTTACAGTTTTATAATGAAGATGAAGCCAGAAAATATACGCAAAAGTAAGCATTACCTTTGTATAATGATAAAGATGTTATCTCGGTTTATTTCAATTAATTATTATTTACATACATATACATAATTTACAGCTCTCGTATTATTGATATTCAAGCACAAATGACAGAACGATGTATCGAATTATTAGTTTTGCCCGAGGATACACCATGCCTGCTTTTAGATATAGGTTGTGGTTCAGGATTATCTGGAGCGGTACTTGAAGAAAATGGCCACTTATGGATTGGTCTAGATATATCTCCTGCAATGCTGGGTATACTGACTTCATTTTATATTGGCTTAAATTCCATCAAATTCCTTATAGTAAGATGATTCATGATTGTAATTAATAATAATATAGATCCTATACTAAATTATTCAATGTAATCTTGTAAGCATTTCACATTTTAGTGCTATAACTGTTCTTTTTTATGCTTTTAGCATGTCTTTGAATTAGACTGATTTAAGGACCCATATTGAATGCCAAATTTTTAATACTATATTAGATGTCGCCCTGGAACGTGAAACTGAAGGTGATTTGGTGCTAGCTGATATGGGTGATGGTCTCCCATTCAAACCTGGAAGTTTTGACGGTGCTGTGTCTGTATCTGCTTTACAGTGGCTTTTTAATGCTGACAAAAAGTCACATCAACCAGTTAAAAGACTTTATAAATTCTTTAGCTCTTTATATGCTTCTTTGGTAAGGAAAATGTCCTTTTCTTTTAATTTAATCATTAACTTCCTCCTATACCTTACCACATCAATTAATAAATAACAATTTCTTACAGTCTAGAACAGCACGAGCAGTTTTTCAATTTTATCCCGAGAATGAAAACCAACTAGAACTACTTACATCACAGGCAATGAAGGCTGGTTTTTATGGAGGGGTTGTCATTGATTATCCTAATTCTGCTAAAGCAAAGAAATTCTTTTTGGTGCTTATGACAGGGGGCTCTGCACCTTTACCAAAAGCTTTAGGTCAATACTCAATCATTTTCAACTTACTTATCATTCCTAAAGATTACTTACTTATAAAAAGACTTACTAATATTTTTAGGTGTGGATGAGGAGGACAGCAGCCTCCAAGTTAAATATGCAAAACGTGAAGCTTCAAAAGGGGCCAGAGGAAAACCTCTCAAAAATACAAGAGCCTGGCTCTTAGAGAAAAAAGAAAGAAGACGGAAACAAGGCAAAGAAACCAAACCTGATACAAAATATACTGGAAGAAAAAGAAGTGGAAGGTTTTGAAACAAATTTATTCACAACCACACTAACTAATTATTTTGTATACATATTAATAAACACAAAGTAAAATGATTTAAATGATATTTTATTTATTATTGTTCTATTTTACTTTTTTATAACATATTTCCATACTGTATCAATGCCATGTCCAATTGTTTCTGTTGGTTTAATATTAGGTAATGGAAACCTACAAACAACCACAACAGTTCCATTATTGACTTCTTGTAAGAGCTTGCTTTCAAAATCCGTCATCATTTGCTCTACACCAAAAATAACAACATTATTATAGGGCTCCAGGTTAAAAGACCATAAATTTTTCCTAAAAAACTTTGTATTTTTGTATCCATTAATAAGAGCAGATAGCCTTGAGTAGTAAACAAGTATAGAGTTTAATTCTACACCATGAGCTTGAAAGCCTAATTTGGCTGCTGTAAAAACTATTCTACCGTCACCAGAGCCTACATCTAGTAAACGGCCACTTCTACCCGTCAAGGCCTTTTTAACCCCCACCAATTGCTCTGTAGTTGCTGGGACGTAAGGTAAACATACTTTTCGAAGTGCTGGAGAAATGAATGGTATACATATTACACTGACTCCGAATGCTAATCCGCCAGTTGTATATATTAATATTTTCCCTCTGAGCGATAGTTTTGTTGGGTTTGCTGTACCAGATTGCAGCAGTTCTAAATCCATTTTTTTAACATCTCTTTTCATACAAATTAGGAACAAATATTTATTTCTATTTTACAGAAATGTATAGGTTTATAGGTTATGTCGTCATTTTTTTTATGACCCCGCGGTATCAAGGACCGGGGCGAGAAACTCCTATACAAAGCCGATCGAGTATTTTTTGTAGCGACATCTTTTTTTAGGAACTTGAAACAAGTATCATGTTTTCTTTTTTTTTTTAACTAGAGGTCACTGTAACTGATATAGTTGTAATACAATGTTTTTTCGCCGGTGGCAGAGCCACGCAGCAGCCTCGGCTGTTGCACGAATGGGCAAGCTCGTCCGGGTAAGTACCACGACCTCACAGAAGACCGGCGTGAAGTGGAAGTATAATACTTTCGCGTTTCTTCTGCTGAGTGAGGTGGCCGGAGCCCAATTTTCAAAAGATTATCAACGAATCTGCAACCATCGGGTGTAGCAGATGTCTATGGGCGGCGGTATACACTTAAAATCAGGTGAATCGTCGCTCTCTTGACAACGTTTCACATAAAAAAAATACAACTTGATGAAAGCAACTTTACACTTAACAATTTTAAAAAGTCCGTTTGATGTTTCTTAGTTGTGTGTGCGCATTTATTAATTTTTCTTTGATATTCTGAGTTTGTGTTTGTGGCAGTACGAATTGCAAATTTCTTTGAATTGAGTAAAAGTGTGTTTAGGGTCGAGTTGAATATTTCTCCACTAAACTTACGATGGCTTGTGGTTTTTACAATGTCTTGGATGCCATTAAGGTAAGTTTTGTGCTGTAACTTTGCCTACTTCTAACAATTTAACGGTAAATATTGATGTTTAGAGGATGTAAACTTTTAACACAATTTTAAAAAGTTATCGTTATGTTAGTGTGTGTTCATTTATTGTCGCGAACACCGAAAGTTTTGGAACAAGAAATATAGATGTCGCTAGCCCGCGTTGTTGACCAAAATAATATGCGATATGGCACTCTAGTTCTGTAGTATTAGTTTACTCTATGCAAGGACCTCTAAGCCAAATAGGTTGTCATGTTAAAAAGGGTAGGCTAGGCATGGGCACAAAATATCGATATATAAAAATATCCATACTTATCCAAATAAATATCGATATGTATCGATATCCGATATTTATTTTCGACTATCGAATTCATGTCAATATCGATATATTTTTTAACGCAACTCTGGTTTGGTTTGTCTATAAAAATATTATTTATTAATACTATTAAACCATCAGTATGAGATGTATATGACCCTGAAGTTAACAAACAATTAACCATTTTCGGATCTTTTTTTTCAACAAATCAAAAAAGAAAAAAATTGCACAAGTAGAAATTTAAAAACTTTACGCACATTTTTTTTTACATATTATCTTTTTTAGTTTATCGTTGAAAAGTTTCAAATATTATAAGACTTCGCCTAACCCGTCCTGCCACCGACATACTATCGGAAGTATGGCCTCTATTGTTCTTAGGCCGGCACTGGGGTGCTCCAGCCTCTTCTCCATTAGGCGTCACTCGCTATGTGAGCGCAACCTTACTCGCACCTATTCAACTCCTCCAAGGCCAGGTCGCCTCGGGCTATTGCCTCCTCGCACCAGTAGTGCAGTGACGCCATGGTTCGGTGATTCACGGTGTCAGCCCGCCACAGGAGCACCATACAGGGCCATGGACCTCACGACCACGGTGTATAGGCGACGGCAGAAGTCGTTGGGTCCAACAACGCTCGGGAGCAGCCTTTCGAGAGCGGCCGCTGCTCTCGCCACTTTTGGAGCTAGGTGCTCAAAGGGGAGAACGAAAACCATCGGCGATCGAGGACTAAGGTATTTATAAATATTAGCTTAACATGTAGTTAAATATTAATGATTTGCAACCACCTCTGTATCATTTTGTAATTTAGATAAGGATAGTATAAAGTACGAAGCATAAAATTTTTGTATAAATACCATAATTAAAGTAAAAAACCAACACTGCATTCGCGACAATACGAGACGAGTTATATTTTCTTTGTTCATTTTTATCTTTTACGGAGTTAAATCCGTTAAATTATTAAATTTGAATTAAATATCTTTTTTTGATACGATTTCGATGTACAATCCCTAAATCGGATCAAAATATATCGGCTAAAATATCGATATATTTTGATCTGATATATTTAATAAAATCTTTCGATATATCGATCTATTGATATTTTTTCGACATCCCTTAACGCCTACCGTTTTCAAAGAGCAATCAAACAGTTATTCGCTTACGCATGCATGCTTTACTAAAGAACAAAGAGAATGTAATCACTATGTTTATATTTTGCTATAGAACTGTAGTTAATTAGGGAGATACTCGAAAAATTCTAAGACCACTTGGAAGAGTTCAATTTCGATCATTCTGGAACAACCAACTGCTAACGACAACAGTTCTAAAAACTACGTTCGCTTCTACGTACAATTTGTTTAGACCGGCAATATTGTAATATAATTTGTATAATGTTTTAGTCTTCAAATTTTTATATTGTGTTGTGTTGTGTAAATTACTAAGTGTTGTAAATAATGCTGTCGGCTCCACTCCTAATACATTTTCCGACGGCTGTTAAAGTCAAAGTGCGGCTGCATTCCAGGGTCCCTGCACCTTCCTTGCTACACAACTTCTGTAGCTTATGGCGCGTTGCTGACGCAAAGTTGTGGCTGGAGGATTGTCTGCCTTTTGCCTGCGGACCCCAAACACCCTTCTCGCTTGCCTGTTGCCGTTGCGGCTGAGTTAGTGTATAGACTTATCGCTACGGGAGCTACAGGAAAGTGTCTTGAGAGGACTTTGGTGCATACTCGGTGGCTAGGGCGAACACACGACCAATCTATTTTTGTATATTTTTATTTGTATTGAGTTTTTTTTCCATGTTTAAATGATTGTTAGTTTTAGTTACATAGTTATAGTTTTTTTTTTTTTTAATTAAATAGTTTTGTTACGGTTTTTTGAGCTAGTTATTAATCTAATCTACTCGAAACCTACGTTTCAACCCACTTGACATTCTTGACATTATGGATGGATTTTAGAGATATCAATATCAGCCTCGATATTTTGATATCTTCTCTCTATGCCTTGTTGTGCAAAAAGCTAGTAAGCCAAGTAATAAATATATGAATGTATAGACTCTGTCCCGGATTCGAGTTTGAAAAATATCGGTATATCGGATAAAAAAAAGGTATATTTAAAAAATCGATAAACCGACATATCGAAATTTTTTGCCATCCCTACTTGACGGTAGGGATGCTAAATGGTACGACGGCAAGTAAAAAAAAATATCGATATTCATCGCATCAACATTTTAAAAAAGTATCAAGTGAAAAATATCGATATATCGTCAGTTTTTCATGATTATTTATACATATTTCCAAATCATTCAAAATTCGTAAAAAGACACGAAGAAAATAGTTTTTGACGATGTTCTGGTTGCACCTAAAGAGTTTCTAGTAATGTTAAACATGAAGCCAGAGTTGCGTAAAAAAATATGTCGAAATTGATATGAATTTGATAGTCTAAAATAAATATCAAATATCGATATATCACGATAAAAATATCGACTATAATTATTGATAGTTTTATGACAAAATATCGATATTTTTATCAATAGAAATTTTTGGGGCATCGCATGTCTACTTGTCAGATCAGACTAGACAAACGCCGAATCAAAGATAACTTGAAATTTTCGAATATTATAATTTTTCGGCAAAATGACTGCATTTGAAGAATTTGGTGTGCTTCCTGAATTAGGAAAAGCAATAGATGAGATGGATTGGACATTGCCCACAGACGTACAAGCGGAGGCAATTCCATTAATATTAGGTGGCGGAGATGTTTTAATGGCAGCTGAGACCGGCAGCGGCAAGACTGGTGCTTTCTGTTTGCCCATTTTACAGATTGTTTGGGAAACTTTAAAGGATATACAAGAGGGAAAGACGAGTAAAGTAATACAGCAAACGTCACCAGAATGGACTATGTCGTTTTTCGACCGTAACGACGCGTTAGCTGTAACACCAGATGGTTTGCGGTGTCAATCTCGCGACCCAAAAGACTGGCACGGCTGTAGAGCTACCAAAGGGGTGCATACGAAGGGTGCCTATTATTATGAGGCTACGGTTACTGATGAAGGACTATGTCGCATTGGCTGGTCAACACAGGCTGTAAGTAATTTTTTTTTTATTATTTATTTGTTCATTATTGGTATTGTTTTAGTACCATAACCATGAAGAGCTCCGCTTCCACCTTAGCCTTTGTGGTTAAACAAAATAAGCCTTTTTGGTGGAAGGTTAAGCTTCTAACCTGACCTGTCTGAATTGAATTGCACTGAATCGGGCTGTCAGCCATAATGATGATATCTAAAAACTTAAGCAACTTGAAAGACCATTAAAAATATATTTACTTCTATTATACTTTCTATTTGTCTCTTTGTCTATTGTCTCTTTTTTTAAAGGCAAAGATTTACCATAAATTAACAAAAATCATGCTTACATGTTAAAATTTAAATTATCACAAAAATCCTGGTACCGTAAACTAAAGCAAAGCCCATTATTCCCTTTCCTTGTGCAAATGTTAGACTGATAATATTAGTATAACAATATCATACAGGCTTATAGAAATTTTTATTGTTTCTTTATTCATTTTTTTTAAAATATATGTACGATCTTTATTGATCTTTAGCTGGTTCTATTCTTGCTCAAAGTTTATTAGATAATATGTAATTTTAGACAGATTTAATCTTGTAAATATTAGATCAATAAAGATTGTACATACATTTTATTCATTTACATTAATTTATTGTTATTAATATTTTACATTATATAGGCAAGACTGGATCTTGGAACTGATCGACTGGGCTTTGGGTATGGTGGTACGGGAAAAAAATCAAATGCCAAGCAATTTGATGATTATGGAGGGGCTTATGGAAAAAATGATGTTATTGGTATGTATTACTCAATAAGAACTACATTGGAAGAATACTGTTGCCACTCAAAATTGCTATTTTTTTCAAGAGCAGTGCTAGAATGAATCATTGGTAATTTATTTTAGAATTTTTACATCAAACCAGATTTTTTGTTTGCTTTAAAATGACCTAACCTTTAAAATGTAAAGCCTGATTATGCTGCAAATTTTGTATGTTTAATTTATTACAGGCTGTATGTTGAATCTTTACAATGGAGAAATTCGCTTCACTAAAAATGGTGAAGATCTGGGTGTGGCATTCAAATTGGAACAATCACGCAAATCTGACTGTTATTTTCCTGCAGTTGTCTTAAAAAATGCTGAAATTAGCTTCAACTTTGGCACTTTACCTTTTAAGGTGATGACTAACCTGTCAAATTAATTGTCTTAATTTGAAACCTTTTTATGCAATATGTAATCATCTTAATAGTAATGTAATTAAAGAAGATAAAATTATGTTTGTGAGTGTAGTATGTTTACTTATAAATTTTGTTGTAGCATGCACCACCTAAAGACTATGTGGCTATTTGCCAAGCACCAAAAGATTGTGTAAAACACAATGTGGTTTCTGCAGTTGCGGCTGCTGAAAGCAAACCAGTGAATAATGCCCCACAAGCTATCATTATTGAGGTAAATTTACCATTAATTAATTTAAATCCTTATAACTATATTATGTTCTAAATCTATTTACAATAATAAAAGAGTAGAATTGGCGAGTCTTCTTCTGAATTCAATTTAAAGTAAGTATATATCCATCTATATTTTAGCCATCCCGTGAGTTAGCAGAACAAACTTGTAATCAAATTACAAAGTTCAAAAAACATTTAGAAAATCCAAAAGTCAGAGAATTGCTTGTAGTTGGAGGGATCAATGTGAAGGACCAAATAAACCAGCTTAATGCGGGAATTGATATTGTTGTTGGCACACCTGGAAGACTAGAAGATCTGATTCAAGGAGGTACTAATTGCTGTTAGAAATAACAGCTTACTTAAACAATGTATATTTTATAATTATATATGGTCTTTTTCCATGTCCATTTTTGAATACTTGTCAAAAGTTTTTATTTTCTGACATCTGAAGGCTTTATAAAACATTTGCACCATTTTATATAACTGAGTGTTTTGTTTCGATACTATAAAAGAAGGAAAGCATTAGTAGTATATCCTATTCATTTTTAAAATTACAAAGTGCTGCAACTATGATATTATCCTTGTGCAATAGGATACTTGGCTCTCACGCACTGCCGATTCTTCGTCCTCGATGAAGCGGATGGCTTGTTGAAAGCGGGATATGGCGATCTGATAGAACGGCTGCATCGGCAAATGCCGAAGATCACCTCCGACGGGCGCCGTTTGCAAATGGTGGTGTGTTCCGCTACACTGCACGCTTTCGACGTTAAGAAAATGGCGGTATGTTTTTAAAATTTGTTCCAAATAGTGGTTAAATATGGTTAAATACTGGTTCAATAAAATATGTATTATGATCATTATATTAATTTGGATCACTATTAATAAAGACAATTAAAGGAAATTATAATACTTACTTACTTGGCTGGCTCAGCGACCCAAAGAGGATCTTGGCCTCCGACACGAAAAGACGCCACTGCTCTCTATTCTGAGCTGTTTCTTGCCAATTGGCTGACTGGAGAGCTCTCAGATCTTTGTGGACTTCGTCTTTCCAGCGATATCTGGGGCGACCAACAGGATGCTTCCCTTTTGGTTGACCCGTATATGCTCTCTTGACTGAACGATCCTCCCCCATCCTCTCCAAGTGGCCGAGCCAACGCAGTCTCGCGGCTTTCGTTTCGCCGATAATGTTGGGTTCGGACACAAGATGTTCAATTTCCCTATTTTTCCGAATTCTCCAATTCCCATCCTCGTCTTTCACCGGTCCCAGAATTTTCCGCAAGATCTTGCGCTCCGCCACTAAGAGCTGATGCTCTTCCTTTAACGTCAGTGTCCAAGCTTCACAGCCATACATTAAGATAGGTCTGATCACCGTCTTATAGACGCTAATGAGCTTGGACACTAGGAGTTTGTGCAGGGCTGCTGTGCATCTTAGGGCGTTTTGTGTGCGGATATTTATTTCGTCCTCTCTCTGATTGGTTGCAGTAACGGTAGTACCTAGGTATTTAAACTGGTTAACGCCTTTATAGATGACCTGACCAACAACAAGATTATCCCGCTTTCCTCTGATATTGTTGTAGCGTTTAACCTGTAGGTACTCTGTTTTGTCGAGGTTAATTCTGAGACCGAATTTTTCTCCCTCCAACTTAAGGATGTCCGCCATGCATCCAAGGTCTTGTTTGGACTTTCCTAGTAGTGCCAGGTCATCAGCATAGCCTTATGTTTGCCATTTAATTCAACTCCCCCATCGTACTCCAGTACTTTGCAGATGGTGTATTCGAGTACTAAATTGAACAGCAACGGCGACAAAGCGTCACCTTGTTTGAGACCTGTCCATACCTCAAATTCATCAGTGAGTTCTCTTTCTATCCGGACTCTCATCTTGCTGACTTTTGTGGCTACCATCACCATATTGACCAGTTTTTCAGGTATATTAAAGTGCCTTAGGATTCTATACAAGGCCTCTTTGTCCACGCTGTCATACGCTTTCATAAAGTCAACGAACAAAATATGGATAGTCTGTGCGTATTCCCATTTCTTCTCCATCAGCTGCTTTAGAAGAAATATTTGGTCAATAGTACTCCTGTTGCGCCGGAAGCCAGCCTGGTAGTCGCCTAAGATGGTTTCAGCATAAGGCTCTAGTCGTTTTATAAGGATATAAGATAATATTTTGGAAGCAGTGCAATGCCCCTGTAGTTGGAACACTGTTTTTTGGATCCCTTTTTGTGTATAGGGCAGATAACTCCCACATTCCACTCTTTTGGTTGGCGTTCATCGTTCCAGATCTTAGCTACAATTTGGTAAATTCTTAATTGCACTGCTCCCCCACCATACTTCCAAATTTCACCCGGTATCCTATCAATTCCCGGGGATTTGTTGTTCTTCAGTCTCATAATAGCCCTATGCACCTCCTCAAAGTCCGGCGGTTCGATTTGACTTTCACAGCTCGTACTGGGATCCATCACTGTCTAGCAATCTGTAGATGGACAATTTAGTAGTTGCTTAAAGTATTGGTGCAACTTCTTCTTCTTCAGCTCTTCCGAGCCAGTTATAAGGTCGCCTTTCTCGTTTTCTAGAGTTTGCGTTTTTGGCTGGTATCCTTTTTTAAAAGAATTTACTTCTTGGTAAAATTTCCTACTTACACTAGCTCTGAATAGGTGTTCCATATCTGTTAATTGATCTTCTAAGTGTTTCCTTTTCGCTAGTCTTATTAGTTTCCTTAGCCTTTTTCGCGCCTCTTGATGTTTGGTAATCCATTTGTTATCTTGTTCGGAGAGAACCTTATATTTCTTCTTTTTTTCCATGGCCATCTCACACTCTTCATTCCACCACTTCCTTTTCTTTCTCTTTTTCTTTTTGCCTATAGTTAATATCTTCCTGTACTTCTAAATGCTGAAATCTATTTCTGAGGTCCAGCTGAAATTTCTCACGTACTTCTTTGTTCTTTAATTTTTCTAAATCCAGGCTTTGGTCTTCTGGCGCGCAGGACTTTCGTGCAACATTGATCTTAGCTTTCATGTTTTCTCCCAGCATGTAATGATCACTGTCGCAATCTGCTCCTCGGTAAGATCTTATATCCTCTATCGTGCTTTTATGGCGATTATCAACCAGAACGTGATCAATTTGATTAACCGTTTGGCCATCAGGATGTCTCCACGTCCCTTTATGGATGGTTTTATGGGGAAACATTGTACTCCGTACCACCAAAGATTTAGCTGAGGCAAAACTAATTCGTCTTAGACCATTGTCATTTGTTTTCTCGTGTTTGCTATGTTTTCCTATGGTGGGCACGAAGATATCTTCTCTTCCTACTTGGGCATTGAAATCTCCAGTGACAATTTTTATATCGTATTCTGGGATTTGATCAAACGCTACTTCAAGTTTTTCGTAGAAGCTGTCCATTATGTCTTCCTCTGAGACCTCTGTGGGGGCATATACGTTGAGGATTGAAATATTTTTAAAAGTACTCTTTACACGGAGGATACTGAGGCGGTCTGAAATTGGTTGAAATTTAACTATGTTCCCAATTACTTTATTACTAACTAGAAAACCCGTCCCATTAATGAATTTCCCGTTTTCATTCCCACTGTAAAATAATGTGGAATTATTATCAATAACACTATCCCCTTGACCAGGCCACCGTACTTCTTGTAGTGCTGCAATCGGTATGTTGTATCTTTGTAGCTCTTTATTAAGTTGGTAGACGGCTCCTGGTCGGCTTAAACTTCTATCATTCCATGAGGCAAATCGTAAATCCTTTATACCGCGCCGAGTTTTGTCGTTGAGATCGGATCGTATTTCTTTCTGTGTCGGTTTCGTAACAACATTTCTTTTAAATGGGAGGGTTGTTAACCCTCCGCTCAACCCTCGAAATGCTGGAGGACCACATCCTACTTTGGTCAGCGAGTCCATCGGACTTAGCCGAGTAGCGTAGCTAGGCTGTACTACCGACCGTTCCCCCATCCGCCACCCGGGGGACGCTCCTCTACGCCGTGAGGCCCAGCGCGAGGAAGGGAAATTAGGGAAATTATAATAGTAAGAACTAATTCTGTATACAGCAATTCATTACAAGCACTCATATGCATGTTCACTAATCAATGGTTTGATAATTTTCTACTTTTTTCATATTTTAGAGTACATGTTTGTAAAGTACATAACTACTTTATTCCTACTTTGGTATTACCCACATACCACATAATGCGTTCTATCAAATTCTGGGATATTACTATACAGCGTGTCGTTACCACCGCGACAATAAATGAACACACATATAGAGGATAACTTTTTAAATTGTATTAAATATTTACATTCTTTAAACATCAATATTTACCGAGTTATTAAATTTTCCAAAACAAACAATTTTAGAACACCCTTACGTATAAAACTGTAACGTAAAGTTCATTTGTAAAGGTCACAAAGCATATGAATGGGTTGAATGAATTTAAAAGAGACAAAACATACTGTTAGAAGGAGAGGCTTGTAATGCGACGCTGTGGCGCGAGTTGTATAGGATGTTACAATTTTTTTTTCTTTTTTACTTAATTAGTTTGAAAAATATTTTTTTTATGATTATTGGCAAGTAGCGTTAGACGTGTGTTCATTTATTGTCGCGATGGTAACGACACGCTGTATATGACACCTTCAAAATTTTATTTAATCCAATGTTAATAGCTTCTTATACTTGATTGTACTTTGCCAGGAAAAACTTATGCACTTCCCTACTTGGGTGGACCTGAAGGGTGAGGATGCAGTCCCAGAGACAGTACACCATGTTGTGGTCAATGTTGATCCACAAAAGGACCGATCCTGGGAGAATTTACGGAAGTAGGTTTGAAAAAACGAAATTTTTGTGAAAGTTATTGGCAAATTAGACTGATTACTAAAAATTCATTTGACCAGAAATGCAACTGTTTTAAACTGTATGGTATTGGTAAGGAGTCACAAAGGGCTTAAAAATAATTAAATTTGAAAGATCACTTACATTAAGTAAGCAAAAGTCAGGATTGGAAAAAAAATACCTGATAATTTGATAAGTTTAACAACAACCACTGTTAACTTTAATCTGCGGCTCTAATGATAGTTCTGTCGGAAAGTATTGAATGTCTTTTAATCGTCTAACAAACTCTCTAGACCAGCACAGACCGACGGCGTCCATGCAAAGGACAACATCCGTGGAGGCAACACCACCCCCGAGACACTCTCAGAGGCTGTGAAGATACTGAAGGCTGAGTACTGTGTGCGCGCTATTAGGGAACATAAAATGGACAGGTGAAATAGTTGGACATCAACATACACTTCAACAACATTTGCTGTTTGTATTTAATACTGTTCAAAGGTGACCACCTCTAATAATGGTTTAATTGATAGTAATTGCAAACAAAAAAATACCTAATGATATCTACAGTTTTATATAATTATACACCACACATCCGTAATATAATCTGTTTGGAACAAATGGCCTTGTTGTTGCACACTGCGCACAAATTTTGGCACGCAAGCAAATGAACGGAAATCTAATTGTTGCTCGCCACTGAGATGTGAGCTGGTGACCTTAAAAAGTCCGACATCAGTTGGTGAACATATGTATTAGTTCGGTAGAGATAAACATTGCAGATCGACCTTTGGAAAGAGACAATCCGCTAAATTCGGTTTCGTAGACCATTATCACTGCCACTGTCGTTCTTCTGTTCTTCATGTGACGGAGGTAACGCTCTTAGTCGAAATTAACCAATTATCTCTTTCGTATTTTTTTATGTGATAAGGTGGCAAGCGTACTGGTGGTTCACCTGATGTTGAGTGATAACCGCCGCCCATTGAAATTTGCAACACCTGCAGAGGTGTATATGCGTTACCACCTTTTGACAAATTGGGCCCCGGCTAACTCACTCGCCGGACGAAACGCATAAGTATGTCATTTCCACTTCACGCTGGTCTTCTGTGAGATATTGCCTATAATATCTGTGAGATACTTCCCCTGATGGACCTGCCCATTCGTGCAACAGTGGACTGTTTCGAGGCCTTACCTCAGTTAAAACACAGCACTGGACCCTGACCATTATCTACTTACTGGATCTAACAGAGCACTTGCCTTCCAATTTCAGGGCGATAATATTCTGTCGTACGAAGCTTGACTGCGACAACCTTGAGCGGCACTTGCGCTCCTTCGGGAACGAGTTCTCGTGCGTTTGCCTCCACGGAGACCGGAAACCGGCCGAGCGGAAGGCGAACCTGGACAAGTTCAAGCAGGGCCAGGTGAAGTTCCTCATATGCACGGACGTGGCCGCGCGTGGCATCGACATCTCCGGCCTGCCCTTCAGTGAGTTATTTCGTGTGAATCATAACGGTCTGAGCCAGTTTTCGCAATAATAACTCTGATCGATTTCATGGTATTTTCTTATAACAACTGTCTAGTGATTTAATATTTGACAAGGAGTTGTGTAGATGGTTACTATAGATACTAGAATATTAAGCCTTCTACACTCTTGCTCCGGAGATGTTAATGTTCTTGCTACCATAACTTTTCTCTTTTAACTTTTACTCTATAGTTGCCTTATTAACATCATTTTATTAACTGCCACATAATATTAATTACCACCGACATCACCTTGACGGTTGGTAATTCAACAAGGTTTGCGTACAACTTACTTTCAAGAAGAGAGTCTATTCCGACATCAAGGTGGATGTTCTTGCAAGTCTTCGTCGCTACTGCGCTGGTCACTTGTACTTTTCTAAAGTAATTAAAAGTATTTTTTAACAATACTTTGTAACAATAAGAATTATTATAATTGTTGATGGATGTATAAGTGAAAGCAACAGAATTCCTTTTCTTATTTACCTCTATAAGAACTAAAGCAAAAATGAAATCAGTCGTGTTCTATATAAAAATTGTGAAAAAACAGTCTTTACACGTTTTTCATTGGCCACCTATCGTTCGGGGCCAGCGATGACCGTGGAAAACCATCCTCTAACCTCTTCAACAATCTTACTATAAGTGTTGTCTTTAAAAATAATAATATTATGAACCATTTCTTAGTATTGCAAAATTGAATGTATGCATCAAAACGTGCATGTGTGCAGTGATCAACGTAACACTTCCTGACGAGAAGTCGAACTACGTGCATCGCATCGGGCGCGTGGGTCGAGCAGAACGAATGGGCTTAGCCATCAGCCTCGTGTCAACCGTACCGGAAAAGGTAAAGATAACCTTATTTTTATCTGAAATCTAAACAACATGTAACAAAATAAATGAGCAATGTCATAGAATTTTAGAGGATAACTTTTTAAAATTGTATTAAGCATTTACATTCTTTAAACATCAATATTTACCGAGTTACAAAATAGTCATTTTTAGAACATCGTTACGTTTATACGTTCATTTTTAAAGGTCACAAAGCATATGAATGGGTTTGTGTTTGAAAGAATGAATGGAATTTAAAAGATATAAAAAATTCTGTTAAAAGGAGAAACTTGTAATGCACTTTTTTGGCAACGAATGAAAAAGTCTCTGAATGTATGAATCAGTCAGTTGTAGTTGTATAGAATGTTACAAATTTTGTTTCTTTTTTATTCAAATAGTTTGTTTGAAAAATATATGTTTTTAATTATGGATTTTTTTACGTTTTATATTTTTTTATGATTATTGGCAAGTAGCATTAGATGTGTGTTCATTTATTGTAGCGGGTGTAACGACACGCTGTATAAATTATAGATAAATGAACAAAGACGGCGCTGCGGGATTCGAAACTGCGGTTTCGCGCCCAGACCAACTAAGTTAAGCTTTCGATTAGGTCACGGCGCAAACATTTCGACATCACCATTCTTTCTATTGGTTTGCACCCATCTAAGAAGTCTACCATGAATACCTATGGTAGACCTATGGTAGACTACTACGCTGATTGAAAAAAGATTAAAAATAGTTACTGTAAAAATCTACCTATCGGAACCGACCTTAGGCACGTCAAGCATACCATAGGGTTCAAATCTGGGTCCATTACTTTTTATTTTATCATAAATGATCTTGATACTTTTATCCATACCCTGCTTATTGTACGCGGACAAATTAATGTAGTATTAATAGCAATAGGATGGCATTCTATTCAATCACCAACATTGAATAATGAACATCACATGTTTCTCAATATCCAGACATGCCTTTATATCAATTTCTCCTGCAGTGTTGTGAAGAAAACTTATTTTCAGTATTCTATTGATCAGATTGGAAAACTTTACGAGATTTAGCAATAATCATGTAGGAGGATTTAGGAACAGTTTAATTCAAAGTAAATTGGAGTACTGTAGTACAGTTTGGAAAGCATACTACTTGGTGCAAATAGATCGCATCGAAAGTATTCAGGCATAAATTTTCAAAATTCTTTCATTTCGCCTGGGGAAGAAGCATATACTCACATCTTATACAGCAATATCTGCCTATTTTGCTATGTTTTCTTTACAAAACCACTGGCTGATGATTGACATCTCGACATAAAGTTCTAAGAAGTAACTTGAACTGAACTCCGTAAAAATGTAGCTCTTAGTGTTCTTTGCTTAATTTAAGGAATAGTGTATTATAATAATTTATATAGTTATTTTAATTGAGTATTGTTTCATGTTCCAACTCTTTGTACAACTGTAATCTAACAATAAACCTCTATCTATTATTAGCCACAATCTCCCTTGTTCTGAAACAACAAACGCAGATAGAAAGCATTTTTGAAGGGTTTATAAATTTTTAAATCTATTACACTATGTAAGTTATATATAGTTTTAAGTATTTTTCCGTCTTTGATAACAAATTTTTTTTTTTTCACTTTTCTACTACATACCGTCAATTTTCTTTTTTTCCTGAAATAATTATCTTGTAACTTGTTGTCGTCGCAAACTTGGCGTGTCAACTGACTGTTATAATGAAATATATTTGTATTAATATTTAAATATTTTGTCAGTCTGCTTAGTGAAGCTATGAATAAATCCTTACTTCCTTGCTTATATTATAAATGTGAAAGTTTGTATGGATGGATATTTGTTACTCTTTTACGCAAATACTACTGAATGGACTTTAATGAAACTTTACAAAAATATAGTTTATACATCAGAATAACATATGGGCTATAATTTATATGCATATGTTTATGTATATCTGTCTTTCTGTCTGGATGTTACGCCTTCAGCCTATTCTACGCAGAAGTAGCGCGAGCAGCAGCTAGTAAATATATAATATCACAATGTATTCAACATTTCCTGGTTAACCATTAATATGACCATTGGCTGTCCCTAGGTGTGGTATCACGGGGAGTGGTGCTCCTCACGGGGCCGCAACTGCTGGAACACCAACCTCGTGGATGATAGGCCGAGAGGCTGTTGCATGTGGTACAACGAGCCGCAGGTACCTATCGAAATTTTTACATTTATGGCTTGTAGAGGCAAGGCAACAATTCTTTATATTACTGCCAATAACTTTAATTCATAAATGGCAACTAAAAACTTACTACCAATACTTCAAAATCATTTCCAATCATTATCATCAAATCATTACTTATTACTTCATGCTTAATACTGATACATAATGTTTATGTTTTGTCCAAACATTGCATATAAATTTATTCAAACTAACATATTGCCATTTACATTAAATTTATTTTCCAATCACATAATGTTCTTGATACATATCTCTGAGCAGCTATTCAAGACCAAATTGGTAAACTGAAAATGAGATTGATTAATAAGAAACGGAGAGGAATGAATATGCCAATAACAGAAAATATAGAAAATTGGTTTAAGAGTGCGGGTATAAAACAGATTAGACATTACTTACTATGTCTAATCTGTTTGATAAGACAGAAGACATTAAGTAATTATCTGTCGAATTACCTAGAACAAATAAAAATAGTTAAATTAGACATTTAACCTTAAACCTTCAAAGTTTAACATTATTAGATTATAATAAAGTAACAAAAAATTTTATTTTATTTATATACAAATGGTGAAAGAGTAAAAGTTAAGACAGATGATAAACACACGAAGAAGAGAATCATACAATGATGTTGATGTTTTACGACATTTAAAAAAAATATATGGTTAGTGGTCTCCTCATCTAAACTGCACTCACACAGAGAGCTATCAACCCCTAATCCTAAACTTTACAAGGTAAATATGGATGCATGCATGTCCAATATTTAGTTTGGATACAGTGGATGTGGCTTGTTCATTTGCGTTATTATACTTAAAGTACCTAGGCTTTTTAGGAACTATTCATGATGAGACAATCTATCTCAATGCCCAGGTCAAGAAGAATGTTGAAAGTTTAAAAATTGTGATGCATTAATTTTTTTTCTTTGGATTTTATCTCTTGATCATCTCTTGATGATTATCTTATAATCTTTGGATTTTATTAAACAAAAATAAGGGATTCTTGTGGACCCAGTAAGACTGTTAGTAGGGTAGTCACGGAATTATAGGGTGAACTGAGAGTTGACAAGTTTTGAAAAGTCCAATCAGTCTGGACACATAATGATATGATGCTCACCATTCGCTGTAAAGGCTAATAATGTTTAAATTTTTCTCAGATTTTATGGAAACAGTCAGTTTGAGTAACAAATGATGCTTAAATGTCAAGGATAACTCCTTAAAAATTATCTGTATCACTCATGGGAATATGCTGGTTATCATAACTTATTCAAAAGTTTTCGAGGAGAGAAAACTACCACATTTGGAGGGGCAAAGGATAATAGTTTTTCCAAATAATAGTTTTACTCAAATATCTTCCATGTACAAACAATAATCAGTTAAATTTTTATTGTATGTATATAATATTTTTATTACATTTGCAGTACCTTGCTGACATTGAGGATCATTTGAACATAACAATCCAGCAAATTCAAAGTGATATGAAAGTGCCATGCAATGAATTTGATGGAAAAGTTGTTTATGGTGAAAAGAGGAAGCAAGTAGGCACTGGTTATCAGGTAAATTTAGAAGCAATATTATTCTATACTTTGAGCGCTTTCCTCTTTCCTGTACAATCAGACTTATAAAGAATTTGTTCATTAAAATTTGTAGAAAAAAGAATTTGCTCACCTGATGTCAAGTATTATTAACCCCCGCCCATTGACATTTGCAACATTTGTACGTTTGCAGATGCGTTGCTACCTTTTAATAGTGTGTCCCGGCTACCTCACTTACCAGACGAAATGCAGTATATTATGTATAGAAGTATTTTTCCACTTCACGCCCGTTTTCTGGAAGGTTGTACTTACTCAGACGGACTTGCCCATTGAAGGATCATGCAACAGTCCTCGCTGTTGCATGATCCTTCCGCAGTTTACAAATACAATTTAGATCTTGAATACTAGTGTGCTTTGAGTTTTAAAATAATTTTTAAACTCCATTGCACAAAAAGGACTGTCAGTCTCACCTCTCAGTCATGGTAAAGATCATGTTTAACTCAACAGCAGATATTTTCAAGGTGAAAACTGATTATCCCAACCTAACGTATACTAAACAATCAGTTGCAGATGCAACACTCGACGTTTCCCTAATTTTTAGGAAGAGTTGGTCTCCAGTTTAAATACTTACAAAATCTTAATAACTCACTTCAGCAGCTTATTCTTTGATAGGCTGTGTTTTTCCTTGGTTTTACGTGACTAAATTTTACAACAGAAGCTAGCTGGCTCCATCACAGTGGAGTATTTACTACATATCTATTTGTAATAAATTGTTTTAAATAATTCTAGGACCACGTAACACAGATGGCGCCAGTAGTGCGCTCGCTTCAAGAACTTGAGTCTCAAGCACAATTGTATTATCTCAAGATGCATCACAATATTACTGTAGCTTGAACAATTGAAATGTCTTTAATTCATGTAAACATTATTATCTATTTAAATTATAAATAAAATATATAACTCTGTAACATTATGTTAGTGAATATTATTTGCATCACTTGTGCTAAGAATACATTAAAGATGTATAACAAAAAAAGTACTCCTGTTATTTTATTGTTATATACAGCGTGTCGTTACCACCTCGACAATAAATTAACACACGTCTAACGCTACTTGCCAATAATCATAAAAAAATATAAACATTAAAAAATCCATAATTAAAAAAAAATATTTTTAAAACAAACTAATTAAATAAAAATGAAACAAAATTTGTAACACCTATACAACTACAACATACTGACTCATACATTAAAAATTTTTTTCATTCGTTGCCGCAATGTTGCAACCCTAATCTCTCCTTCTTACAGTATGTTTTATCTCTTTTAAATTCATTCAACCCATTCATATGCTTTATGAACTTTACAAATTAACTTAACGTTACAGTTTTATACGTAAGGTTGTTCTAAAATTATTTGTTTTGGAAAATTTAATAACTCTGTAAATATTGATGTTTAAAGAATGTAAATTTTAAAAAGTTATCCTCTATATGTGTGTTAATGTCGCGGTTGTACCGACACGCTGTATAAATATTACCCAAAGATATAACACCCTTGTCCCTTGAGACCCTATATGCATATGGGATTTCATTGTTAACTGAATCGGAGTAGGGCGGCCATTATTATTATGTTATAGTTGTTAGAAGGGTGTTAAATAATAGAAACCGAAAGTAAAATGTTTTAATTTTTAATTCACTCAATTCTCGTCACTACTATTAATAATTAAGGGCAGTGAATGACGGCCCTGGATTTGAAAAATAAATTATTAAGTCTCATTACTACTAAATTAAGATAGCCTTTTTTACCATGGTAGCCATTATTAAAAGCTTAAATGACTTTTTTGTTCTTTATCTAAATCATATAGTAATCACGAAATATAATTCTTCAAAAAGTTCTGTTAGAAAAAACTAAATGTTGGTTAGGTTATAAAAATAGAATACATCTTATAAATCTGTTGGAAATACACAAATACATACAGTCCAGCAATATTTGTTTTGGTGGATTATGCTAATATTGAATTTGAATTTAAATACATTACATTGACTTCTAATTGGAACATTAACATTACCAAAATGTTCACATATTTATAGCAACACCTTATAAATGTATTTAAACTTCCATAATAATGGTATGTGGCCATACCTTTTTCTTTAAATTATTGAAATCTTTATAGTTATTTAAATATCAGATTTCAAAATTAAGGTTGAAACACACTACCTAAATTTGTATTAACAAACTGATTTTAGGTGAGTTATGCTAGCATTTAAGGCACTATATTCTATTATTACTTTATTGGGTAATTTAAAAATTGTGTTATTAAAATGCATTAAAACATGCATGATAAAAATGAAAGCAGGGAAATTAAACTGGTTATTTGGCTAACGAAAACATTGACTAATAAGTCTTATTACATAAAACAATTACAAGAGAGTAAAAGTGCAGTGGTGTTCATAGATACAAAATAGTGAACATCTTAATTACTTTTGTGTGACAACCCTGAGAAACAGAGGCTAACAACTTGGATGGATAAGGGTCATTCTTAATTATGTATATGCATAAAGAGGTGCAAACACTATCAAACATTAAGCAGAGATAAAAACGTGAATTATTACAATATCTTTGTCCTAAAGTTATATAAACAAAATGCAAAAACATACATTATATTTATCTACTTAATTTATTAGTCTAAGGTATGAAGAGTGCAAATTGTATATACAGTTAAAACTTCGAACATTTCATATAAAAAAAAAATAACCTTTACTATATACTTTATATAGTGTTAGTCATATCAAGTAGGGCATTAGGAACTACTAAAGCATTATTTTGATATAAAAATGTTGCTGAATCATTGAAATATCAGTGATTTATCTTAATTTTACACAGTCCTTTTAACATAATTATGAAAAAATAATTGAGATTTCCTTATCAACACATTAAAATTTTATTTTTTTATTTTACAGTGCAATGTCAAAAAATAATACTTTGATATTTTCTGCAGTGGGAGGTTTGTCATATAAAAGTAGACATTGGTAATAGGAAGCATAAAGTATACTAGAAGAGTAGACAACTAAATATTTTAGATTCAGCAACATTATTAAGCTTGGGCCTTGGAAATTAAAATGCTATATTTTAACGCCTCTCTCCTATTGACCTGACTACACCTCTAAGTTTCTAACTTTAATAAATTGTAACTATAAACAGTTATCATAGCATTAGCTTTAACAATGGACAAAATATAGTATGCCATATAAAATAGTTTACAAACTAATAATTCTTTATTTATTTGGTGCCTACTGCTATCCTGAAAGCAGATTTATGTTTTAAGACCATTCTTAGTATAAAAAAATCTGCAGTGTTGGAGTGGAAAAATTTAAGTTTTTAAAATAATATGTAAATTTAATTATGTATATTGCAAATGTTTTGTATTCGTTTTTCTTATGATTTCTTATTGACTATGCATACAAAAATAACAGTTAATTATAAAAACATACAAAATACCTTGGAAATCAAGCGGTTACAAGACAAAGGTTCCAGATTGATATTTATACTAAGAAGGTTCATACACATTCTTTGTCTCTGCATTCCTAAACCCTACCACATATCATTGGCTTGCAGGCCTTTATCACATATACTTTAAACATTTGAGTCTCATATATGAACTTAGATATGTATGTACTACAAAAGAAAATGCATGGAGATCTAAAATATAAGGGTTCTTATATTTTATAAATAACAGTTAGATATTTAAATTCACTATTTTTGGCCACCAAGAAATAAAATAAAATTTCTGTTTTTGAATATTCAACATATACCATAGCCATGTGAAATAATTATGATGGATAGTGAAATGATTCAATACTTCAATTACTGACTAAGATGAAAATTAATAAATTCAAATTTGATCTCATCTCGGTGGGCAATTAAATATTCTTTTTATAATTTAACAGTAATTGAGTTTTTAGTTTCATTTCATTTCTAACAACACACAAGAAAAAAAATATAAATTATGAGCAAACCTTACAACCTTCATTCAAAATTAAAACCTCATAATAAACTAGTTAATATGTTAGCTATTCGAGATTTTGTTTTAAATATATTTAAGTTTGGTGTTATTTTTCGCCACCATCTTCAATTATCGATTGGTGGACGCCTCTTGGCATTTCTTGTAAAAAAATCTTTTGCCGATTGTTACCTATTTCCCAAAGTTCCCCAACAAAATATTACCATTTCATCTTATATATAAAACTGAAGCTTCATTCATCATTTTAAAATTAACACATTCACATTACATCCTTATATTAATAAATTAAATTATAATGTCATATTGCAAAAAGACCAAATTTATTTTACGAATATAAAATTTAAATACTTATTTTGTCAAAATCCAATTAAATATGCAAAATATGAATTGAAATAAGATCCACCACAACTGTTTGTTTAAATGTTATTCTATTACAAAAATAAAGACAGTTTGTGCGTACAATTAAACTTTAGTAATTTAACTGCTTTCATATGACAAATTTATGCTCTAAAAATATATTATTCTATAATCACTTATAATGTAATCAGCACTCAGAACAAACAGTAAATAGCAGGCTTATATATGCATGTATTGCTTGATTACCGATTTAACATACAACACATTTTAATAACATTTAAATATGTATAATATATTTATATAACTGAACAAGTTTGGCAGAACAATGCATGGGTATTGTTTTCAAAAAACCATGTTAATTTCATTGCAAATCTTTAAACAGGTTTGAGGCCATACCTCTTCTTTTCTCTCTTTTAATTCCACTTTTCATAGAGCTTACAAGTCCCCTAAGTAAATAAATGGAGACTTCACCATATGCTGGCCACATATGGGAGATTGTGATTTATGCAACCGAGTATCACAAAAACTTATACTCTTTGGCGCATGTAACCAGGACTCAAAAACCAGGTCCAAGAAAGACTTCTACCTTGTTACAGTAACATAACCTCAATCTATCTGAGCCCTACTATATCTTTGTAATAAAATAAATTTTTCAGCTCTTCTTGAAAAGAATTTTAAATGATCATGATTGTAATACTGATACAGGCAAATACTAAACTGTATTGCAAACACTTATTTTATTGTTATCCAGCTTAATGTTTCATTGAAATCATCTTCCTTCTTCAGTATTCTTCAATGATGATCATACTGTGGTATGAGGCAGTTATTATGCATTGACCTTAATTAGGTATGAAATCTAAGTTAGGCCACTTGTCTCACTAATTAAAACACAGTACTTGTTCTTACTAAAACAAAACTTTCACAACAGATTAGCCAATATTAAATTAATAAATAATGCTGAGAAGACCAACTGAGATTTCCGGGTTGTCACCTGTAAGAGAATTGAAATAATGTTGCCAAAGATTTCTTGACCAAAAGTTTGGCTTGAATTATATTATTAATAAGCAAGAATATTGAAAAACACAAATGACGTTCTTAGTTGTTAAAGAAATTTGTAGTGGTTGTGTACCTAGAAATCTCAATATTTCGAAAATAGTAACACTTTTATAAAGTCATTTTTCTTTCTGGTATGTGACCCATCTATTCTCTTAAATTTTGCTACTTTATATGGGATACGAAGTTAAAATATGTCTGGAAATACCATGGACGACAACAAATTCAATATAGAATAGATGTGAATGTCTGAAAAATTCTTGAAAAGCGTAAGATCGAAATTAATAATTTCCATTTGCAATACATCAAAGCCTGTATGTACTAGGGGATGTGGATAATGACATTGGTGTATACAAACCCAGGTCAGAGCGCAAGCCAGGGGTGATGTCTGAGCGACTCGCGCGAGCGGTCTCCATAGTCATACGTGAGCTCATCCCCTGGCGCGATGTCGTGAGCGGCGAGCAACACCAGTCGCGGTCCGTCCACCCACAGTGCCTTCGTGTGGAGGTTGCCGTTGCGCGAATGGTTCACGAGTCGGCCCAAACGACCGCTCTCCGCTGTTGCGTCGATGCTGAACGCGTTGAAAATGAGATATGAATTGACGTAAACTTCGCACTTAAATTTCTACTCAGACTTCACAGAGGAATACATGAGAGTATATTTCCACTAAACAGATCAGATCCTCAGTGGGAACAGTGGGGATGCATAAAATTTTGTTGAATGTGCGAACTGAAGAGTGCCTGTTTGTCAGCGTTGGTTTTGTCAGTGTATGCAACACTGAGAAAATCGGAGAATTATAAAACCGGCACCCAAACACTCCGTGGCCCTCAATCTGTTGTGGCATCAGTGTATCCCATCCAGTTGAAGAGAGATTTTAAATTTTTAAAACACAGAGGCTTTATAAAGTTTAGAAAATTTGAAGTAATAATTTTTTTTGCAAAAAGAAAAGAAATGGAGATATGCATATTAAATAGCCCCTGTAGCTAACCGGGTGGCCGGTGGTATGACAATTGACGCAGTCCGGTGGATCTGCGCAATCTTTCGGCCGCGTACAATCGGGCGTGCCGTGGTCACCGGTGCATTTGACGCACCTAGGGTGAGCGAAACAATTATTAGCCGTAGGGGGCGCAAACTACCTGCGAGCCACCTGGGGTTCGCCCAGGCAGTTTAACGTCGGCCATAGTGTTGGCAGTTGTGGCACTGCGCCACAACTCCCGATCTTCGCGGGGGCTCGATCACGAGGTCGCTGAGCCCACAGACCCTCTTCAGGTTGAAGATGATGATGGCCTTACCTTCCGGGGTAGGGTCAAGTTCAACCATCACCATGTCCATAGGGACACGGGTTCTGGGGTGTCTGAGGCGTCGGACGGCATGCACAGGGTATCCCTGAGTGCAGATGTCGGTCTTCGCCTTGTCGACATCCGACTCTTTGGAGACGCCCTTGATAACAACCCGAATTTTGCGTTCTTAGGGCAACAACTAAGATGTTACAAATTTTGTTTCTTTATACTTAACTAGATTGTTTGAAAAACATTACTTTTTAATTATGGATATTTTTAACGTTAATATGTTTTTATGGATATTGGCAAGTAGCGTTAGGCGTGTGTTCATTTATTGACGCGATGGTAACGACACGCTGTATACATTATATATATAATTATATAAGCATTTATAATGAAATAGTTAATTTTATTAGATAATTATTTAACGTTGATAGTATAAAAAATCGTGATTTTATTAAGGAAGTTTTTTAAATTGTTTATAGTGCTAATCTTTGAACTTTAGATTAAACATTAAAATATGTAGAAAACGTACCAAAAGATTGTCGCCGCTGTGGGAATCCAACCCACGTCTTCGGTATTCGCGGCCTGACGCTTTAACAACTAAGCTAAACGGCTGATTGCCACACCGACGAAAATCTTAACGACTTTTATCTACATTGTTTTTAGAATTTGAAGCAATGCTTGGCACATCCATTGTTATATCCTTTCCAGCATACAAACAATTTCGAATATCGTTTTACAACGATAGTTCGAACGAGAGATGTCACCATTGCTTTTTAGAAATTTAAATTGTTTATAGTGCTAATCTTCTCACTTAAGATTGAAAATTAAAATATGTAGAAAAATTACGAAAAGATTGTCACCACTGTGGGAATCGAACCCACGTCTTCGGCATTCGCGGTCGCGTGCTACTAACTTAACGTTTATTTACACTTACTGGTTAGACTCAGTGCGTGTTTTATCTAGTACAGTCAAAATCAACAGAAAATAATTTCTCACCAATACTGCTGATCACCATGTCTGAAATAATACATGTAGCAACCGGCTTCGGGGTCCTGAGCGTAGCGTTGTTCCCTTTCCCGGGCCTCTGCTACGCCTACCAGCTCTCCGGCGTACTCCACCACAAACTGTCCGCGTCCGAACGCACGGGTAGCAATAACGCCACGCCCTTTGCCCTCAAAGTATGCTACCTGAAATGAGAAAACAAAAATTAATATTCCAATCAATTTAATTATAATAGGGTAGAATCTTGATAAGAGAGGTAGGGGCAAGTCAGAAATACTACTTTCCCTTTAAGTATGTACTGAGTTATAATAATGTATATTGTTTCCCTTTTTTTATAATAATGTATATTATGAGTCCAAACATAAATATGAATGTATGAGAAGGTTAACCAAACTAAAAGAAACAGTTTTAATAAAATTAAGGAAGTGTATCAATGTTCCTGCCTTAATAAATTTGAAAATAAATAATAGTTTACTCACTGTAACTGAAGTCAAAAGCAAATGCACTGACATTGTATTATAATATTATTGCAATTATTAAAAAAAAAAGTGTGTGTGTACTTATGAACATGTGTTAGAAGTTGTACTTCTTTTGCATTACAAGATAAAAATCTTTTTAAAATTTTATGTTTCGCCTTATTCTACATTTGTAGATAAAACAACACTAACAATAGAAAAAAGGTATTTAATACATTGTAAGTTTAATTATAATGCATTATCTCGTTAAATAAAGTTTATTTTAATATTACAAAATAAATATCATCTATGTCTAGCTTACTTCCGGGTGTTAGTTTTTCGTGACGTTGTGCATGCGCATAGTTAAAATTTACTATAATAATTTTTCCTAACATGCCATAAGAAGTATAACTTCAATAATAATACATTAATAGCTATAAGATTCAATGCCACATATATCTACATTTGATGATGATTTCTATCCAATTCCATCCCATACAAAGTTTTAAGACCACCAAAACATTTTCTGGGATGAGTCCTCAATGGAATAATTACTACATAAAACAGAACAGTGATACCAGACAGTAGGTATAACAAATGAAAAAAATTAAATAACCTGTAAGCCATCTTCTCTTTGCTCTCTCACCGCCTTTTCTAAATCCCGCATTTTCTCTGCCATTACACATTTGGAAGTCTTTCTAACACTACGCCTTACAGGAAAATACTCTGTTAGCTTGTGATTTGTTTGTCCATTCACAGCTTTAGTTTCTATTTTGACAGTCTTATCTATTGCTAATAGCGAAGAAGGTGGTTCAACCTTAGGACATTTGATTTCTTCCTTAAAGTACTCCGTTAATTTATGACTTTCATTAACTTTGGCAGCTGCTCGGGAAGCACGAGATCTGATACTATTTCCATTAGTCATATTGGTAATGATACCATTACTACTCTTTAGAGGTTTAGATTTCACCTGTAGCTTTCTTAATGGTGTTTCTGTCAATTCAGCATTTTCAGTCTTTACAGGTGAAGCAGTAACAATTCTATAAACAATATTTTTTATAATTATATTCTGAAACTTACACATTATACTTATTCTCAGATGATATAGAAGCAAATAAAGTAAAATATTTAAAGTCAAATGAAAAGATATTTTTAAACTAAGATATCTATACCTAATTTATTAAACAGAGTGTACCTGCGCTTTCTGTAGCTACGTGTTGGTCTAACTAACTTCTCTTCACATAATTCAATGCGATGAGGAGTCTTGACGCCCTCTTGAGATTGAGACATTAAGCCGTTAACTGGAAATTTTGCAATTTAAAAAGTAACAATAAGTAAATAAGTAACACCTATGTTATGTACCAATAATAGATATAACAATGCTCAATTATTTCTAATAATTAAGTATGAAAGTTCATTCATCATTTTTAAAACGAGACTAAAGAAATTGATAAAATATTACATATATTACAATTACAATTGATTAATAAAATACTACATACGAAATTTCAAGCCGAATTTTTAATCTGTATATTGATTATACTGTTCTTGCCGCCATAACCACAATACTTCACGAATAAATAGATTCCACAAAAAATAATGCAGGTAGTATAAATAAGAAAGTTTAAACGAAACGTAAACTGTCCAATATAACATTTTGTAAAAAGTGTGGGTATGTACAAGAAATAAAAGGTTTTAAAAATTTTTGGATATTACTATTTCATTTCTCAACAATGTTCGATGTAGGTATTTTTTATAAGAGAATATACTAACCTCGAACCATTTTAACTTGAACTTGATAATGAGTGACATAAAAACGTAGAATACCATCGATCAACTAGTTTCTGACACAAACAAAATGACTAACTAGACTTCTTGACTTACAAATGTTTTGTAATAGACCTTGTCATTTCTCATATATATTAGAACTATTGAATCATTTATAATTAATAACGTAAATGTCACGATTTGAACATTTTAAATACACTGAATATTTAATTAACAATAATTTTATCTCTATCCACTCAATAAAATCTAAAAAGATCGGTTGAACATATCTTTTAATGTCAAAACTAATCGTGTTTAGAGGTAGGCATTATGAAAATGGACGCTTTGTCGCTTTTGCTGGTCTTTCATAGATAAAATTCTCTTCTCTCTGCTTCATCAAGCGTTCCGATTAACGGTAAAGCTTAGAGATGTCATAAATAATATCCCATATTAATGTTATTAATTAATCTTGACGTATTTTTTCTATTTTTAAATAGAGTGTTTAATCACGCCACCCAATTGTGTTTTCACAAAATAATATACAAACAAAATCTCACAACCTACGATTAATAACTAATTTCACCAATTTTTACATCTTTGCTATATCTGATAGAGTATACAGTACACAGTTACATTTAATTTCAATTAAAATCTACGTTGGTTGAAGAGGAAAATAATATTCAGTGGCGTAGCTATCGTAGGTGCTGGTGATGCAGTGCACCAGGGTCCCGAAACTCAAGGGGCCCCCTAACTTTGGATAGAAAGGAGCAGCCAGCTCACAAATCTAGCAAACCTCGAGATTGCTTGCAAGAATTTTTTATGATGTTAAAAGAACATAAACAATAACAGAACTCTTAATTTAAGACTTTCAACACATGCGCAAAGCATCTTTGCTAGGCATGCGCTATTTTTATCGTTATTTTATTCCGTTCGTTTATATTACTGATGGTCGTGAGATCAATTCCGCCCATTAAGAATTTTTAATTTAAGACTTTAAACACATGCGCAAAGCGTCTTTGATAGGCATGCGCTATTATTTTATCGTTATTTTATTCGGTTCGTTTACATTATTGATAGTCATGAGATCAATTCGCTCATCAACTTTTAAGTTAAATTTTCATTTGCCTTGGATGTGATTTCATCCATTTCATAGTAATTCATTCCAATGTACAGAACTCTTTGAGACGAACAATAATGGTTGATAGGTGCAATGTGTATAGGATAAGAGTAACACATAGGTTACAATTTATTAAAATTTTGTACTATTTGGCCATTATTTTACGAAAAGTATTAATTAAATCGAAAATTTTCCTGCAAAAAGTCCTGCTTATGCTCCATTCAATCACTTCGAGAAATTCGTTCAAAGAGATTAATATACTGACTGTTGCTTCTCAGTACGTACTTGAAAATGTTATGTATGTACATAAAAACAAAAATGAATTTTTCATGGCATGCGAATGTGCACGATATAAATACTAGGAACAAACATAAATTAATTATACCAACACAACCAAACTGCGTAAATAATTAATTAATGATAGTAATACTTTTATCGGGCAAAGTATTTATGCTCTTACTAAATTAAAAAAAATTGTAAAGAAGTAAAATTTGAAAAATAATAAAAATACAAATATATATATATATATAGTACCTGGAAGACCGAGCTTTGCTTGGTTTGCTTTTAAATTTTTGGTAAATCATGTGTTTTGGAAATTACATGTAGATATAAATTACTGAGTAGTGAAATATGCATAATATTTTTCGATCTTATCGACGTAATATGACGCAATGATCTGGAATCGAAAAAAAAGTTTTAAAAAAAAGTGTGTAAATAATCGTGAGACGAACCACGGCCTTCTGTTTTCGGGGCCGCCCGATTACCGACCGAGCTATTATGACATTTTTTTTCGGCGAAATTTACCGTCATATTCGAATGATATTTTTTTTAGCTAGATCGATTTTTCGCCCCCAAATATATGCACATACTAAATTTCATGAAAATCGCTGGAGCCGTTTCCGAGATTCCGATTATATATATACAAGAATTGCTCGTTTAAAAGATATCGTTTGAAGGTTGGCGGGTGCCCAATTTTCAAAAGGTCGTCAACACATCTGGAACCCTAGGGTGATACAGATGTCCATGGGTATTCACATGCAGTATTCACTTAACATAAGATGAACCGTCTGCTCATTTGGCAACTCCTCACATAAAAAAAAGACAACACACCACCTTAAGGCAATCCGGCGCGCAATTCACACCAAGACAAGAATTTATCTTCGATGCGATTACGCTGCCGTCGGCCACCTATGTAACTTTGAAACCAGCCAATCACTAGTGAAGATATGATAATAGAACGCAACCGAAAATTTAATAACATTTAATAAAAAATATTATTATTATATTTTCTTCCTAAATTAAGGGAGAAAAATATACAATGGAAATTTTTAGGAAGTAAATTTTTTGGGAATATTTTTAGGAGTTAAATTTTATTCACATTTTTGAAAAAAAATAAAACTGCACAAAACGAAAAAGAAAAATATAATTTAATAGTTCCGTGCTACTTTGGTGGACGTCAGGCCAAGGCTTATGTGTCTTGTATGTATATTTTAAATTCTTCCGCCCTAAGCTATAATATTGAATGTATTGTTTCTTACACAAAATATAAAAATATTGTCAGTTTTTTTAAGAATTTAAGGTGGATATTAAAATACATAGTTTCGAAATCTGATATTTGAAATAGAAATCTGATTCAGATACGGTTCTCAGAAAAAGCGATACGACCCATCTCTGCCATCTATAAAAATTAGCGGGCAGCTTCAAAGCCGTGATTTTTGTGTTACAGTGATGCGCGTGCATCTTAAAATTTCACTCATCATTTTTAATAAAGCGCCCAAAGAAGTTTAACTTCAAAAATATAGTTTTTGATATAATATTGTATATTTTATATCCGATCAAAATATATCGTCTAAAAACATCCAAACATTTAATAAAAAATATCGATTTATCGATATTTTTTCGGCATTACACTTCACTCTAGTATCCGTCATGTCAATCGTAATCTCTGGAATTCGTTATTTAAAAGTGATTTGTCAAAAAATAGCTTTCTTTTCATACGTAAACGTAGTGTTTATATATATTCTCTTTGTTTTCATACTTATTTCTTTATGATGTAACGTATATTGTTATTCATCATATAATTTTTTGAAATAGATTTTTAAGAAACATAAATGTAAAGTTCAATGTGAAGTTACAGTTAATTATTATAAAATATAATTTTTTGCCCCAAGTCCAAATTACTTGATAATTATTTCGTTTGTCTAATCTAAAAAATGAGTATTAAAAAGCCATGTTACATTTGGGATCAATCTTTAATTGATGAATGTGATCGTCTACCAGCAATTCCGAACAGAGTAAGCTTAATTTTTTCTTATTTCTTGCCTTTAAATAACTACATAACTGCTGCTCCCTTCCATTTTTAGGCTTCTTTGGTACACGACCTTATAAGGTCTTATGGACTCACTGATCATTTTAAAGTAGTTCGGCCAACACCAGCATGCTATGAAGATTTAAAAGTATTCCACTCAGAATTGTACTTGGACCATTTAAAGTCTTTTCTTGAAGTAGAAGATGATTATATGACAAATGCACAAGATGAGAGGTATGGAATAGGTAATATACATGTAATCATCCTATCATCATATTATAATAATTATCATCTGTTCATAATGGGTATTATCGTTTATTCATCCCATGCTCTTTTATACAATTAGCAGATATAATTATTACCTAGTTGATAGTTATTTGTTATGATAATTTCATTTAAAAACAACTTCATTTTGCTTGTACTTTTTAATTGCAGTGTAACTTAACATTATTGTTGTAAAATATAATTTTTCACTATTGTAATTAAACCAAATTAAGATCTATTTAGAGAAAATAAAATTGTAAATAATATACTAGTCAATTCTACTTTACAAGCTTAATACAATTTTGGTAAAGGTAAATAACTTTAACTCCGGCGTAATTCAAATCAAATAAATTTTAAACAATAGAGATAAATCTCTAATGAATTAATCAACAAGCAGAATTCGGCGGTCGCTTATAGTTTTCGAGAAAAAAAATATTTAAAACTTGTTTTTTGTACTAAGAAATCCACCATTTTATTCGTTTGACTTCAAAAGTTCTTTATACAGTTCTGCCAACATGATAAATATAGGTAGCGGGCGCCATCATACACGTATCGATATTCCGATTTTTTAAATTTAATGAGTCACAGAACCGACACAGAGCGAATAGATTTGGTTAGAAGGCTCAGGCGGGAGCTCTGCTCCCGCCTTAACCTTCGATGTTAGGTTTTTTTTAATGACCACCAAGAAATACGAGCTGAATTGACATATTGACAACAAAAAATGGCGGATTTCTATGGTAAAAATCACACTATTTCATTATTTATTTTTTCGAAAACTATAAGCGACCGCCAAATTCTGCTTGTTGATAAATTCATAAGTGAGTTTTCTCTATCGTTTAAAATTTATTTGATTTGAATTACGCCGGAGTTAAAGTTATTTACATTTACCACAATTTTTTTTAGAGGCTTCGGCAGTAACATAATTATATAGTCTTAATAATTAAATTCCAGGATATGATTGTCCACCATTATCCAACATTTATGATTTAGTGTCAGTTATAGCAGGTGGTTCAATTACTGCTGCTAAATGTTTATTACTAGGGATATCAGATGTGGTTATAAATTGGTGTGGGGGATGGCATCATGCTAAGAGGTAAGGCTTGTTAGTTCTAACTTTTGGCTATCTAACTTTCTTAATAGGCAATGATTAATTCAATTAATGTTATTTTTGTATATATAAGAATTTCTTCCTTAAAATCAAAAATAAAGGTTAAGTTTTTGGGGCATTTGCACAAACAGTTCTATGTTAATAGTTTTTAGCAATAATGGATTTATTTTATAACCAAAAAACAAGCTTCTTATTAAATATACACTTAAAAGGGCTAATGACATTGGGCATATTATGACTGCAATATATGTAATTGGAATTGAATTTATAATTCACATTTGTTCAATAAAAAGCCCTAATTATCAATGTTTAATAAGATATTGTTTTTTTTTTTAGATTTCAAGCACAAGGTTTTTGTTATGTTAACGACATTGTATTAGCTATTGAAAAGTTAAGATTAAAATTCAACAGAATATTGTATATTGATTTGGATGTCCACCATGGTAAAGTTTTTTATACATTTTTTCACATTTGTTGAAACAGTTCAAGCAAATGAGTGGGTAATGAGATTTTATCAGTGATTAATCATAACATATAAAAAATTTGTTTTATATTCCAGGCAATGGTGTCCAAGATGCATATAACTCAAGCCAATCAGTATTAACACTGTCTCTTCATAAATATGAGCCTGGTTTTTATCCAGGCTCCGGTGGCATTGATGACATTGGTACAATGTCAGGCTATGGTTATAAGTGTAATTTTCCACTTCATGCATTTTATACTGATAAAACTTTGGACTTTGCATTTGGAAAGTAAGACATTAGTTTATATTAATTTTCTTTTGATACAATATACAGGCTGTATGTTCATAAAACAGCTGTTGTGAATAAAACATTGTCTTCATTTTATTCATATTTACAACTTTCTCATATCTGGTAATGAAGGTACTGCTATACAGCGTGTCTTTACAACCGCGACAATAAATGAACACACGTCTAACGCTACTTGCCAATAATCATAAAAAATATTAATGTTAAACGAAATACATAATTAAAAAAAATATTTTTAAAAAAGAAACAAAATTTTAACACCTATACAACTACAACGCGTTTACAACAGTTGTAAACGCTTCTGCAACCCTTGAGTGTAGCAGATGTCCATGGGCGGCGGTATTCACTTAACATCAGGTGAACCGTCTACTCGCTTGGACCGTCTTTCACATAAAAAAACAAAAAACATGTGCATATTTTGTACTGAATGCTTAAATTGTTTTCTTTTTTTTTTTTTTAAAAAACATTGCCCTCACTTTAGGATAACATTATCCTGTGTTGTAAGGACGTTTTACAAACATAAATTGCACGAGGACAAACACCCAGATGCGAAACAACTATCTGTGGGTCGCACAAATAGTTGTCCCGTGTGGGAATCGAACCCACGACCCCCGACGCCGAAGCCAATACCTTGGCAACGGCGCCACGGAGTCATCAAATTTCTTTTTATAATATATAGAATTATCTTATTTGAAATCTATTGCTGAAAGTAGACTGCTTAAAATCCAGAGTCACCAATATACAGAGAGGCTTTTAATTATATCCATTCTTTTTTATATTATTTATGTCTAGAATTTAATAAATTCTAGACACATAAATAACGTTATATAAAAATGATAAATATTTAAAACCACTAATTAATTTAATACATTCATTTGAATCAAAAAGTGCGTGGTTTATGGGTAACTCATTTATTTTATGATCATTCATAACTAACACGCACACAAGTTCGTTTCAAATGTATATGATGCATTTATGAATGACTACCACCACATTGTCAACAAGTTCTGTTTTTTAGGGAATGGAATGTTTGAACGCAATTTGTTTTTTAAATTGTGTTCATAAGTACACAAATCTATATTTTATGTTTCCCAAATACTGATATTTTTTTTAAATAGGTCCCTATATTTCTAAAGGTGAAAAGTATTTGTGGAACACACAAATATTTGTAAAACAGTGTGAAATAGTGATATGTGAAAGAAAAGATATCAATTTAAACTTTAATAATCATGTTGCAATAATTTGGAACTCATTTATTATTCGTTTTTTCATTTATTATGTTTTTAGGGTTTTCCCCTTAATCTGTTCAAGTTTTAGGCCAGATGCCATAGTTATGCAATGTGGTGCTGATGCTTTAGCTTATGATCCACATGGTGGAGCATCCTTAACAGAAAACTCCTATAAAAGCTGCCTTACTAAAGTTTTGGAAGAACAAAAACCTACAATACTTTTAGGTGGTGGTAAGTAAAAATGTTTAAAGCCCCGGATGTAGAGAGCAGTATATCACTAAAATTTGTTACATGTAATTAAATTTCTGATGTTTATTTTGAACATATGTTTAAGGTGGTTACAATCATCCAAATACTGCTAGACTTTGGGCAAATCTCACAGCAGTTGTAGCAGGAATAACACTCGATAATTATATTCCTGAACATGATCAATGGCCAACATATGGACCCAAGCCTTCCTATACAGCCAAGCCTTACAAAAGACTTGAACAAAGAGCAGTACCTTTTTGATTGTGTTGCGAAAATAAAAAGTATGTTTTTAATTGTATATTGTTATAATATACTTCTGTTTTTAATTGCACAAAATCTATTATTGTCTTTATGTTTACAGACACTATAGAAACTATTCTTGGAAAAAAAGAAAAATTCTTGTCATTCAAAACAAATGAGTATAAGGCAGAAATCAATGCTGAGAATATTTTTTTTGAAAAACGGTTGAAACATATATCAAAGGAAAGTATAGAAACAAATTTAAAAAAAGGTTGGAGATTAAAATTTAAAAATCAAGGGCCTGATGCAAATTTGAACAAAACAGAAGCTAATGATGTATATGAATTTCATGACTAATGATAGTAAATAATAAGAATGAATAAAATATGAAACTATTGTAGTTTTAACTTTTACAACATGTCATACTTTCATAGGATTTAACTTCTGAATTTTAATGTTTTTTGGTTTTAACATTAAACTAGAAACAACCATAAAGAATGTGGAAAAAAAATATATTTTGGGTTTTCTAATTGAATTGTTCAATAATTGATATTTACTAAGTTGTTCAACAGGATGTAACATGTACAGCATTTGTATTGTAATTATTTCAATAGAAACATTTTTGATCCATTCTGTGCCACTGAATAAATAATCAATTAATTGTAATACTAAATCATGACATTGATATAAAGCAATAAAAGTTATTATTACACAACCCAAAGCAATTGGCATTATAATTATGAAATAAATGATTTAATACACTTTAATTTCACAGTCATGACATCTACCTTTAATAATGGAAATTATTTACATAATTTTACAGGTTTTAACAACTGATCATCATCTTATTATGAATGATTTTGAAGAACAATTCGAATTGTGACAATGATGATATAGAAAATTTAGGCTATTGCTATTACATTGTAACTCGAATATAAATACAAACCGACAAACTAAGGAATTCTTAAATGAATACAAAAAAAACCTTAAATGACCAAAAAAATAAAAACTAGACTAAGATTTTAAGCTTTTATATTTGGCCAATGAAGTTGTCTCTAATTACTTACAGTAATCGTGAATACCTTTCAAGCAGCGTGATTGAGGAGAAAAAGTACTTAGTTCTAGAAATCTCCAGAAATTTACAACAGTGAATGATTTTCTATAATAAATAGGTCAAAATGAGATGACTCTGTCTCCCTTTATTTAGATAAATGCACATGTAATAAATTTATTACATTACTAAAATTATATTACTGACAATAATCACTCACTGTTGTAAAGTCAAAGATGTTGGAACTAGTTTTTCATTTAATCAGATGGCCGTTTTTCACTATGTTTCTTAGTAAATTCCTCTGCATTTTTTGTGAACTTTTTCCTATCCTTCAAGAATTCTTCGGCAAGCTCGGCACGTAAAGGATGTTCTGGCTCTGGATCATTAACAAGTGCAACTAGGGCTTGAATTACTGTAAATTGGAGAATTTTGACATTATTGTCTAAATGTTATATTAACATATATTATGACAGCATGATTACTGTAAAAATCCTCCAGACAGAAAAACAATTGTTAAGTAAAGAATAATATTTTCTTTTTAAACAATTTATTATAAAAATCTTTTTATCCACAAAAACTAGAGATTTAGAATTGGAAAACATTGACAAAATTTTATGTTTTCTGTACCCTCAGTCATAATTATGCTTAATTTTTTAAATACCAGGTCTTTAACACTTTTCCAAGAATACAGAACAAAAATTAAATGAAAAAGTGAAAGTACTTAAAGCACACGAAAGCAAAACAGAATACCTTATCAATTCATATATAAACACATTAGAGATCTATGAGCTTTCCTTTAAGTTGGAAAAATTGTATGCAAAAATTTGTATATTAACATATAAATAACAATTGGTGCCAGGTATGATACAATTTTTTTATTTCATATATTTTATATAATCTGTAATCATACTTAAGTGGTGGAACAGCTTACTGTGACTTCCTTTTGGGAGAAGTATTCTAAAATATTATTTTTAATTTTCATAAGAGTCATAAGATTTTAACCAATAAAGCATATTATTAATGACTACATTACCTTGGTCAGTCTTAGTAGCTGGTTTCCAATTTTCAGCACTTATAATTGGTAGACACACCTGGCCTTTCTCATCAATGTTAGGATGATAAATTTTTGTCTTGAAACTTATTTTAGGTGGCTTAAATGGATATTCTGCTGGGAAGTTAATTTCAATACGAAATGCACCCTTATTATATGGAGGATTGTCCTGCAAGTAATAAATTTAGTTGGCATTCGCCTTAATTAAATATGTTTATATTTAATATTATAAAACTGTTTTAAAAATATGCATTCTTACAGGAACAATCAGGCCTTGCCATGTAAGAATATTGGATTCATCGACTTGAATATCTCTAAAAGACTTTAATCCCGATTGTCTGATGTCGTTTAGCTCCTGAAAAAATAATCACAAAAAATTTTGAAGTAATCTACGTACCACCATGCTATATATCATTCATGTAATAAAATATTTTCTTAGGTGCTGAAAAGATTTACATATTTAAAAGCAAATGGACTTTTTAGATATAATACTTTCTATTAACAATACCTTTTGAAGTCTTCTAGTAGCAGCCATAGTAGTATTATGTTACTATAATGTAGTTTCGAGAACAAAATTACTGACTATCTGCAATAAATGTAGTCCAAACTAACAACATAATTCGTATATCAGAAAATATGACTCAGTAAAATGTCAGTGAAAGAAATGTCTCCGACTCCGTCTCATCCGCTCACCGCCCCAGATTCCGTAAACGCCAGTGCGTGCAACTGCAGTGTGCATATCGGTATATATGTATTATCTATGGTGTACACGCCATTATAAAATTCACGTCTACCTAATTTAATGAAAATTACTAATGCTGTATTTTTATAATTATCAATAGGTTAATTAAATTGAAATCAAAACAAACAACGAAAATAATTTAAATAATTTTGCTGTCAATTATTCTGTACGTAATTCAAATAATGTATAAAATAATTATATCGTTGATCTCTGCTTTAATTTGCGATGGGCCGTCCGGCCGGATGAGCATATAGCTCGTAGAACTGATCGATGAGTAAGAAAGGTTCTTGAGTAGCAGCCTCGTACTGGCCATCGCAGTATAAGATGACTCACTACTTGTCTGTAGCCTATGTTCATCAGTGGACCCAGACAAGCTGAAATGATGATGAATGAGGAGCTGTTTGTTCGAGTCTTTGGTAATTTGAAAAACTGATACAAACGTTTGGTTCTCGCATACGGCCTTGCAGGCACTCTATAAAAAATGTATTTATAATGTCTACACAGTCAAACTTGTTGCAAAGATTATACAATAGCATCATTTGATTAAAAAGTCTTCTATGTTTTACACTAAGTAGATTAAAATATATATTTGAAATTTTCTGGCAATCTTCAGATTAACCCTTGAGGTAAGTTTTTATATAAAGATAGAGGCGCGTTGAAACTGAGGCATTCAAATCATGGCAATTGGTGCGATTTCTCTTTGTTTGTTCGGTATGATTATATGAGCTAGCGATGGGCGCGTCGACTGGTGTAAGTCGACTGAGTCGACGTGACGCTTGAAGTCGTCGAATCGATCTGACTTTTTAATAAGTACTGAGTCGTTTCGAGTTTGAGTCGCCTCGCGATTCGGGCTCGCGTTACGATCTCAAGACGGCGTTGCGGCAATTCGCTATTACAAAGGATTCGTAGTCAACTCCGGGTCGAGCGAGCTAGCGAGATCCTTAATGAACGAGTCAGAGTGAGAAAGAAACAATGATTTGAAGTCAACTCCAAGTCGAGTAAGCTAGCGAGATACTTAATGAACGAGTCAGAGTGAGAAAGAAACAACGATTCGAACCTTCGTCTAAATCGGTGAAGACCTCATGTCGGCTTCTCGGCAATTCGCGATTCGCGAACTAACGATTCAACGTCAACTCCGAGTCGAGCGAGCTGGCGAGATACATAATGAACGAGTCAGAGTGAGAAAGAAACAATGATTTGAAGTCGACTCCAAGTCGAGTAAAATAACGAGATGCATAATGAACGAATCAGAGTGAGAAAGAAGCATAGCCATTCGCGCCATTCAATCTCGCGTCTAAATCAGTGTTGACAGACGGAAATTTGAAATTGACGCATGTCGCTGGTCGCTGATTATTTTGTTTGCTTTTTTAAAATAATAGCGAATAATATGCTTTTATAATATAAAAAGTGATTATTTATAAATATTATATTATACATATATTTATAACGATAATTCAATATTCGATAATTCTAATCTATAATTATATATATTTATAAATAGATAGCATTTTAATTTTCTTTTTCCTTTGTTTTTGTTTCTATTGAATAACATTGATTTTATTAGAAAATATTAGAAAAAAGTATTATTGTAAATAAAATATTTTTGTCCGGAAAATGTGCGTAATTTTTCCTTATTTATTGTATTAAAATCTAAACAGTAAACAGTTCTTAAAGCGAAGTCGCGAATGGAGCTTGAGTTGTAATGAAACACATCGCGATTTGGTGATCCATGATTATTAACCGACTTCAAAAAAGAAGGAGGTTTCTCAATTCGAACGTATATTTTTTTTGTGTTCGTGGATCGCTGTTTATGAACGAACTTCGTCGTTTATGAACCGATTTTGAGGATTCTTTATTTGGTAGTAAAGAGATATCCCAAGGGTGGTACCATAATAAGGAAACCCGGATCTGATGATGGCATCCCACAAAAATCGAAGGTAATCCTCAAATGTTATAGGTATTAACAATATTTTTTTTTAGTTTCCGGTTAAAAGTCGTTTTTTTTTGTTGAAAATACTGTATTTTCTTATCCATTAGGTTGCGTTTTCAATGTAATTCAAAATAGATTTCCAATTTTTTGTAAAATTGATTTATGTTGTAAAATATACTCAAATAGCACTTGCTTGTGATGTGAAAACCTTCCTTTCGATCCATTTTTGTTTGGCTAATATTTTTGCAGTCATAAATTACGCAATACAGCATAATAATAGGATTTATGATCAGGACGTGTGACTGCAGGTGTCTTCAATCGCGTCAGAACTTAGTGACATTTTGGCTTCATTGTGGTCGCCGGATTACGCCCACATGGCACTTCCACTTGTTTTCTCTATTCCGTGGGCCGCTCTCCCCATCATCCGCGATTCGGCGGGGCTGCACCACTGTTGCATTAGTAGTGGAGTGGGGCCGCGAAGGGACAGGAGTATCGATATTGCGAATGCGATACGTCATTCTCCCTACTCTCCGCGGACGAAATGGCATTCCTAGCTCGTTAGCGAACTCGGTGGGAGTTTGTTGGCTCTTTGCGAAAGGAGCCGAGGGTCGAGCAGGAAGGCGCGCGTTTAATTTTCTTACACTTTGTTTTACTTAAAGCTCATTTATGTGATTCTAAGTTTATGCATCGCATGAGGAGATATATGACAACTAATTTATTTTATTTTTCTATGCCTTATCCAGCTAATTTCAATCAAAACAACTATAATGTGACTTGAACAGCAATAAGTATTAAGCAAAAAATTGATTATGACTAACCTATAAAAAAAGTGAAATTTAATAATGAACAAACTAACAACCACACAACCAAAGGGGGATGATCTTCTATGAGATAAGAAGGGTAGGGAAATACAAATTTATCGTTTTTTTGTGACAAATTTTATTTTCGGCAATGATTACTATGAATGTGAGACATTAATATGCTATACTGGTGATGAAAAATTTAAAAACTGTACTATAGAGCAATACGACACCATCAAGCACATGACCAGAATAGCATATAAGATTTCAGACCTAATACGGTAAAAGTTTCAATAATTATAATTATAAACATTTTAGTTACAAAAAAACTGTTGCGTGAAAAACTAATTGAATAACGTTGTTCTTGCTTTAGAATACAGCGCAGTATAGAATGTGACAGTTGCAGCGACCTTTGCTTCCAAAGAAACTCCTTGGCATTTGCAATAGAACAGTAAAATAATATACTACAAACAAATGTCCTGTCGTTTAATATTGGAAGAGGGCCGTTGCAACCGTCGCGCGTTGTGTGGGGTGTACGGAGAGTGTTATGGTTCAGCGTGTGCCGATTATTCTTCAGGTCTTTGAGTTTAATCGTCGTGGCCGCGCTCGTCGTCGCGACGGCGATTGCGCTGGCGACGGTTCCATCCGTCTCTGGGACGTTCCCTCTGGCGGCCCTCCCCGCGCCCAGCCCCGCCCCGCTGGAAAAAGGAGCCCTGCTTCTCGAAGATCCGCTCGTTCGAGTCGACAAGGTTACCCACCTGGAAATGGCCGAAGAAATGTTTTATTCACTCAAGTATTTTATATTATAATAATGGAAGGGCCTATCATAACGTGGAAGATTGCATAGAGGAAAGGATGTGTGAAAATGACTCCTGCTCTAAACTTACAAGTTCCATAGCTGCTATCGATTTTGTATCTATCTAGTTATGAATATATTATTTAAAAAGTTTTTGCAGGCCCTTCTCTGGACAGGTCTAATTTATTGAACCAGTGGTAGATTTTTTTTTACTTTCAATAAGAGCTTTGAACTTTGAAAAATAAAATCTTCACAAGAAAAATGGTGACAGCTGATATGCCCATACATAGCTCATTGCATACTTAGACAAAGCCGCATTTAAGATTGTTAGCCAATTCTTTTTTCATTTTTTGGGTGTACCATTTATTGGGTGGGTATGACATATACGGGATGGATTTTCTAAGTGTATCCATTTTTTATTAAATTCTAGACATAAATAATGTTATATAAAAAAAAAATTATTACATTCATTTGAACTTATCTCAAAAAGTGCGTGATTTATACGCAACTCATTTATTTTACGCACGATCATTCATAACTAACTCGCACACAAGTTCGTGCACAGTAAAAATTAGGTATTTATGAATGACTACCACATAGTCAACACGTTCTGTTTTTAAGGGAATAGAATGCCATTTTTTTTTTGGAAAAAAAACTTTCAATAAACGATTATACTACCGAGTCGGAACCTCCTGTGTAAATTTAGGCACTTCTCAAAAAATCTCCCTGTATAATGGTTTAGGTTAAACTGTTTTACTACCTACTTTTTATATATAATTTATATATAATTTTAGTTTCTATAAAACGCGTAAATAGTTATTAGAAGTTTTTTTTAATGTGAAAAGTTGCCAAACAAGCTGACGGTTCAACTGATGTTAAGTGAATACCGCCGCCCATAGACATCTGCTACACCCGAGGGTTTGCATATGCGTTGACAACCTTATTTAGAAATTGGGCTCCGGCTACCTCACTCACCAGACGAAACGCGGAAGTATTTGTCATACTTCCACTTTACGCTGGTCTTCTGTGAGGTCGTGGTACTTACCCAGACGAGCCTGCCCATTCGTGCAACAGCCGAGGCTGTTGCGTGGCTCTACCACCGTTGAGCATTTATAATATATAAGTCTGTGTCTGTGTGTATCATGTTTGTGAAATCACTCGCTAAACAGGAATAAGTTAATATAATGAGAACAAAATAGCTACAATAAGAACACTATAACAATTATTATTAACAATTACTATAACACTAATATTAACACTATAACAATTAACAATTTAAAATGTTTAAAAAGGTTTAATAAGATTGCTTGAATGAAATTGACACCTTAGCAATAAGGGGCCGTCCATTAATCACGTGACCCTTGAAAGGGCGGGGAATCAGGGGGGGGGGGGGGGTTGTAGTAAGATATCACAATTTGTGTATTTACTTTTTGGATTTCTAAACATTTTTATCATGGTCCTTAATTTCAGAATAAAATTAGATTATACTTTATACCTTTATTAAAAGATAATATTTAAAAAATTTTAGGACTCTACATAGGTACTAAAATAAACACTTGATTTTGGGTGAGGGGTGGCGGTTTAGTCTTAAACCTGTGTATTTTCTTGTGCGCATAAAAGTATATTCTATTCTAGATTTAAAGATCACTGGATTATTTATTGAAATAAGATGAGGTACCTTATCGGCAAGCTGCAGCGCCAGCGCTTGCATCCTTGTCGGCTCCGAGCGATGGAGTATGGCGCACTCACTGGGGTCATCTAGGGACGCTAGCAGCTCCTCGTTTATTATCATCTTGGAGACCAGAGAGTGGACACGTTGACGTGGCAGCTCGAACATATCCGCCAGCGAGCGAAGAGACAGAGAGGCGTACACGTGTGCGTATGTGAACAGGTAAGTGCGCAGTGATTCCTCGCGAATGAGACGGCCGAGCATCGCACGCACGTTGTCCGCGCCAACCATCAAATCCCATACCTTTACATAAAGAAATAATAAAAAAAAAGTCTGGTAGAAAAAATTATTATATTAATATCGAAATAAATAATAAATAATTCGATATTAATTTTATAATAAATAGTTATATTACAACAAAAATCTTATCATCATTTAGGGTTTGCCAACTTGCGGACTATCATCAATTAAGATGGCCGTCAAGCATAGCAGTATAATAGAAAATAATCTATTTATTTCTGTCGTATTAAATCGAAAATATTAGTGATTCAAGTCATTACTACTCATTAATTAATTGTAGTAATACATAGAGGAAGTAATGAAGGGTACCTTTGCGTTCATTTTCTCGTTGACGATGAAGTTGAGGCAGGCGCGCCAGTCGCCGCGGCGCATCGCCCTCGCGGCCGCCACGGCGTGCTCCCTCATGGACTCGGGGGGCCCCACGAGGGCTTGTCGCTCGCTAGCGCGCAAGTTCTGATAGAACGTTTTGCTGATCATTCGCCTGCGAGCGTCGAACTCGTGCGCCGCCATGTACGGAATCTCAATCAACATCGCGGACACCAGGTACACGCACTCGAGAAGTTCCAGGTTAATGTGCATATGGAACGGCATCTGTCTCTGCTTCTCGATCTTCTCCTGCTCCTTGGAGCGCTCGTGCTGACGCTGCGGCAGCAGACCTTGGGCGAGCAGTTCCTTCGGCTTTCCGGTCATCATCAGCTCCGCTAGGCATCCGTGCGCCTCTTTCACGTTGCCGCGGCGGAATGCGCACAGGCCCAAATTGGCCATCGTACGATTGTACAGGATCTGAGTGCTCGGATCGGAATGTTGGACCGTCTCTTGGAGGTGGGACATGAGCAGCAGATCGCGGGCTTGGAACCAGTTGTCGTGCAGAGCGTGGTGGTATATATGCGACAGGATGGCGCGAGTGCGGAGACGATCGGTCTCGTCGTGCGCGTAAATATATTTGCAAAAGCGTTCCATTTTCTTAATCGTCGTTTCCTCGCCAGGGGGCAGATCCTTACGCACCGCGCGCGGATCGAACTTGTAGTACAGATGATCTATCTTGCGCAGATAAGCGCGGCAGATCTCCTGCGGCGAGCCGTCACGCTCGACCACTTGACAGACACGGTCGATTAGAGCGGAGACGCGCACTTCGTCCTTCAGTCGCTCCACGTACTCGTTAGAGTGAGGGTCGCACTCCTTCAGTAGCTTGGTGAACTCATCGTCGAGCCGCTCGAGGGCCGTCAACACGCAGCCGCGCACACGGTAGGGTGGCGTGACGAGTTCCTCGTGGTCCTCCGTGATCGTCTCGCTGAGGACCATATTCTCGTTCGCCAGCAGGATGGTGACCATGTGGTCGACGTTCTCTACCAGCCTCGACCAGTACTCGGGCTTCATGGCGTCGGACACCTTGGGGTTGTAGTCGAAGAGAGCGGCGACGGTTGCCGCGCGCAGTTTTAGCTGCAGAGCGTCCCCCAGGTTGTGCTGTTGGGCGACCGTGCGCAGCTCATGCAGCAGCTCCAGCTGCGCGCGACGGTCGGTACGCTTACGGCCGCGGGCCGCACTAATCTCACCCAGCTTCTTCACTACCAGAGCGGCGTCGATGTCGCTATCCTGCGGACCGAAATTCGTATTTCGTTTGCAAAAATGTAAATCAAAAATTAGTTTTTTTTGTCAAATAATGAAAATGTGGCTACATATATGCAACCCTATGGTTATTGCAATGTCCATGGGCGGCGGTTATCAATATCTATCAGGTGAAGAGAGGTCGCCAACTCGTTTGCCACCTTCTCACTAACATAAAATATCAGATTTACTTAATTAAGTAAATTTAGTAGTTAACTTGTTAAAAATACTTAAAGAAAATATTTAAATTATTAAAACTAGTGAGACATTAACCTAATAAAAAGAGGGTACATTTAAACTCACGTTACATACACCGGTTTAACGCAAGATTGGTATGTATGGAAATGTACTCACTATGTCCAACAACACGGATTTCCAAGTAGGTGAATGCGACACGGAATCCAAACGATAGTGCTAGCGATTGTGTAGTAGACATAGTGAGTACATTTTTTGCGTCCCAAAACACCAATATTGACACTATACCAATCTCATCAGATTCGATATCTTCGCTGGCGTAGTGCGAGACGGGGCGCGATCGCAAATTAATCCCACTCGCCTTGATAAATGACCTACGATAGTTCCGAAACTATTCGGTACATACTCCGGTTTAACGTGAGTTTAACCGTTTTATTATTAGATCAAACGAAAATATTGTTTTGGAACAAGACGTTTACATTAAATAAGAATAATAAATAGTATTAAAATATTAAATGAATACCTTTGCAAACATCTTGGGCTTGTCAGAAGTAGCCGCGCCTTTTCTCACGGTCTCCCATTCACCACCATCGTCAGTCTGGTCCCTCTTGCTGATTTTACCAGCCCCCCTCTCGCGCCTCTCTCGTCTCGCGCGACGTCTGTCCCTCTCTTCGTCTTCATCCCTCTCGGTAGTTCTCTTTAGGAACCGCTCCCTTAAAGTGGTCGCCCCACGAGCTTCATCATCGGAACTAGAACTGGAGTCAGAGGAACTCGAGCCCCAGTCCATCGAGTCGGATGACTCGTCATCTTGAGGTGGCGGACGGCGTGGGGGTTCAGGAGAGCGACGCACTCGAACCTTCTCCTTAGGCTTATCTTCATCGTCAGACTCATCGGATGATGAAGTATCTAGGGTTTAAAAACCTTTGTTGATTTTACACAATTTTCTTCATTTAATCAACAATTTATCTAGACTGATTTTAATATACAATAACACTATTCAATAGTGTTATTGTAAGTTAGTAACATTTTTTTTACGTGAAATGTTGCCAAACGAGCAGGCGGTTCACCTGATGTCAAGTGAATACCGCCACCCATGGAGCTATCAGATATCAGCTATACCCGAGGGTTGCAGATGCGTTGATAACCGTTTGAAAATTGGGCTGCGGCTACCCTACTCACCAGACGAAACGCGAAAGTATGTATACTTTCACTTGACACCGATCTTCTGTGAGGTCGGGGTTCCTACCCGGACGAGCCTGCCCATTCGTGCAACAGCCGAGGCTGCTGCATGGCTCTACTACAGTCTAACATGGTAGGAAGCGATATATTCTATAACATAATTTCATCTTAATATAAAAATACTCTTATAAGAATTTATTACTTACCTTTGCGTTCTTCATCATCATCGGGCAAATCAGGGTTTTCACGGAATTTCGTTATCTCGGCGTCAAAATCTTTCTCATACTTCCTGAGTTTCTGCCGTAAGGATGTGAGAGCTTTACTATTACCCTTAGATAACGTCTTTCTACTGTCGCGATCTGCCCAAGCACCTGCCACCCAATCATCCAGCTCAACTAAGGCCCTGATAAAGAATCGAGGGGCGATTCCATTTTCCTCTTTCTGAACAACTGGGGCAGCGCGCGTATATGCCCGCTGTAGCTCTTCGAATGATGCTAAGGCTGATGAGAAGTCCTTGATTTTACGGTGATTGCGCAGTGAATGTATGATACCCTCCAATTCTTCATAACGCTTCTCTTTCATGGAACGTACCACACGCTTTGTCTCTTCTTCATCATCGCTAAACTGTGCAATAAAAATTAATTTTACTATTAACACTAACATTTGTACAAAAAAGAACAATTTATTATAACTATGTACTAAAAAGAAGTGAACTACGACAGAGGCTTTGATTTTGACGAAATTTGGGCGGTACTCCAGTGCCAAATTGACTGTCAGTATATCAAGGAGCTGAGGTATTTGTATAACAAGGCTACGATATGCATCCAGCAGTGCCGGATTACGTAGCAAAAGTAGCAATTGCTACGGGCCCCGCGCGAAAATAATATTAAGCGGGCATATTTAAATTCTGTCTGAGCGTCATTATTTTTGAATGAAGCTTATTAAGTGAGAGTATTGAATTGTTTTTTACCACTTTATACTCAAGAACCCATTGCAGATCAAGGGCTGTTTGAAATAATTTGCTACAGGCAATATAATAGGAAAATGTTTTCAAGCTTCTGGGCCGGAATGGACATGATATTAATATTAACATCTATGGCAAACACATCAACCAGCTTCTATTTGCCGCCAAAATAGTCATCATGGCAGAATCGCTAGAGGATCTTCGTACTATGCTCAAATACCTCAAAAATGCCTATCAAAAGGTGGACCTTAAGATGCCTCTTGCGCCCAGAGAGTGTGGGCTCGATCCCCACTACTGGAAAAATATTGTGTGATAAACATGGTGTTTTTCCTGTGTCTGGATGTTTATACATGTATAGCATTGCTTAGATTGGTACAAGAGAATGACATGGAAAAAAAAATCATGTCTAATGACCACGTCAAGTCTATACCGGTTGTTATCAAAGTTGATGATAAGTATGATTACCTAGGACAGTTAGTCCAGTTAGGTAATTCTAACTTTAACTCAAAGGTCAATTGGAAAATGAAACTCAGATCAACAGTTTTCGAGAATCTTTGGTGTCTTCTTGTGTTCAGACATCCACAGAAGATCAAAGGTAACTGACATAGTACAGAAGATTAGTAAGAAAATGGGCCAGCCATATAGATTGAAGAACAGATTAAACTATGGGTAAGAAAGGTTCAAGTGAACTTTTCATATTGACCATCATAGTTTAGGATGACCCCCCAAGGAATGCGAAAAGGTGATGAATGCAAGAGGTTCAGGATCATGCTTCTAGGCAGTTCTGTGGGGGAGGCCTACTTTCAGCTGTGGACTCAGATAGGTTGAAATGATGATGATAATTATGATACATAAAAACGTGCATGTCTTTACAATCGCGACAATAAATGAACACACATATAGAGGAAAATTTTTTAAAATTGTATTAAACATTTACATTCTTTAAACTGTATCATTCTTTAATGTTCAATCTCAAGTGCAAAGATTAGCACTATAAACAATTTAAATTTTCTATATAATTTACAGAAATCAGAAATTAATGAAAAATTAAGGGAGACTAAGTATAATATGTTGATCATCACAATGAAGCATATGTTTATATAAATTGTGATCATATTTTCAAATACTCTGAAATTATTTACAAAGTTCATGAATACCTAAAGAATATCAGTTTTAATACCCGTTGAACACAATTCGAAGTTATAAGTTGGTTTAACGGTGGTAGGGCCAGGCAGCAGCCTCGCTGTTGCACGAATGGGCCTGTCAGGTTAAGTACTACAAACTCACAAAAGACCAGCGTAAAGTGGAAGTATGACAAATACTTTCGCGTTTCGTCTGGTGAGTGAGGGAGCCGGAGCCCAATTTTCAAAAGGTTGTCAACGCATCTGTAACCCTCGGGTGTAGCAGATGTCCATTGCGGTATTTATTTACCATCAGGTGAACCGTCTACTCGTTTGGCAACTTTTCACATAAAAAAAAACAAAGAAAAGAATAATGATATCGTTAATTACTTACAGTGTATACTGGCGCTGGTGCACGGACTACCTGCTCTTCTTCACTTGAACTTTCGGATTCGGAATCCGTTCCAGTTGCGAAAAACCGACTCATGTTTGCTTGTTTATTTTAACTGTAAGAAAGAAAGATATCTGACTAAAATTAATAGCTAAGGGAGTTTGTAAACGTAGTCAATAGTCGCCGAAAAATAGCTTTGAGGTTAGGACACAGAACTTAATTCCTAATCACAAAACTTTAAATAATTGACGATTGCAAAAGATTATTATTTGAACTATTTTACCTCACAAAAATATTAGTGTCGAAGTGGTTATAGTGCGTATATCTTTATTTAGATACATGAAAATTGTAAGTAAATCAAGATTTAGCACAATCCTACATGCCCACGAAGCACTTCACACGTCAAAGCTGTAACCATATTAGCATAGACAAGTAAGACATTTACACTGAAGAAACACTGAAAGCACAGATTAGAGAGTCACAGTCACAGCACAGACTTGGCTTGTGTAGTTCTTAGACGATGAACGAATAAGAAATAGGGATCCCGAAAAAATATCTAAGTATCGATATAGAATATTTAATATCGAAATCGTATTAAAAACGATATATTTTTCAAATTCGAATCCAGGACAGCGTCCTTACATTCAAATATTTAATACTTGGCATTCGTTTTTGTTGGCTAACAGGGCCTAGTTATCGAGGCCAATATTGATATATTTTTAATTATCGATATACTTCTTCACTTTCAGCATCCCTAATAATTCCCAAAAAGCCATCGGATACTATAGCACCCCAATGTATCAATTCAATAACAAAACATCTACTGGGTCCTAGGGATGCAGAAAGCTAACCCTTTACCTATGGTTCACCAGATTCAGTATTTTTTTTTCATGTAATGATGCATGAACAAAACTAATCGCATTGTTTACATTGTATTTAATATGTTGGCACCACGAAAACATTCTTTGTTGGCAATCTCAATACTATTGAGATTGACAATAGCTCTATTGAGTCAATAGTTAAAACTTCACTTTGCGCGGGTGTGAAGTTGGACACAGTTTTGCAAAACAAACAATTTTAGAACAGCCTTACGTATAAAGAAAACTGTAACGTAAAGTTCATTTGTAAATTTGTATTTTCGTGCACGCAGCCAATCGTCTTATTGTCAAATTGCATTTCATAAATATTTTAGCAGAATTTCTTAAAGTTAACGATGTGCGAATGATGATGGTGATGATATCAGAATTATATCAATATCAAAATTGACACGCATTCGATACTCTAAAATAAATATCGATATACGGCGATTAAAAATATCGACAATATATATACGATCATTGTGTGGAAAAATATCGACATTTTGATATATCGATATCTTGTGCCCATGCCTACATCGGTTGAAATCTTGACTCTTGTTGAAGACGACATTTTCTATAACTTCTAAACTATCGTGAGATTTTTTTCAAAAATATGGAAGCTAGGACTTTAATATTACCCAAGAACATTTGCCGAACATGTCTTGTAGAATCAGATTCCCCTATACTTATGAGTGTACAAGATTTAATTGAACATGAAATGAACAAAATTAAACTTGTTGATATTCTGATTTTTCTAAATTGCGTAGAGGTAGGTGTAGTTTGAATTAAATAATTGATTTTCATTTTATATGCCATAACAGATTGTTTTTATCCATTTTAGAACAATGACGAAGATAATTGGCCCCAAGCAATGTGTTCTACGTGTGTTAATACAGCAATTATTTCATACAGTTTTAAGTTAAATTGTCTAAAATCAAATTTAACACTGTCGCAAATATTTAGCATCCAATCCAACGTCACCAACTTTCATCAGTCTCACATAAATTCTATTGATATCAATGTTGTTTATCAAGATCATGAATATGATACACCACTTTTTAATAACCACACAGCTATAGAGTTTGAACCGCATGTTCCTGTGAACAAAGAACTAACGCCTTTGCCACCTGTTACTGAGATAACATCGACAGAACGTCCACCGAGAAAAGAAGGCGAAAAGAAATATTCATGCGCCCTATGCTCAAAATCTTTTACAAGACTTTATGGATTACAGTATCATATGGCGAAACATAGAGATTTTCGTAGGTTTTTATGTCCTAAATGTGGCAAAAGTTTTCATGTTGCAAATGGTCTAAGACAGCATTTAATAACACATAAGAAGCTTCCACAATTTAAGTGTGGTTTTTGCAACAAAACATACAGATCAAGGCAATCATTAAAAGAACATTTCCGTGTAGCTCATTCCAGCAATCGCAAGTCATTTGTATGTGTCACATGTGATAAAAGCTTTACTGCAAAATCTACATTAATGATGCATATTAAGAGTCATACTGGTGAGAGTCAATATCCTTGTCCAAGTTGTCCAAAAATTTACACAAGACCAGCATACTTACGAGCACATAGTTTAATACACTTAGGCCAAGAACGTCCAAGACCTTTCAAATGTCAATTTACTGATTGCAATAGAAGTTTTTCAACAAAACTATCACTATCTGTCCATATAGCTCATGCTCACTCTACTGAGAGGCCCCATAAGTGTGAAATTTGTTATAAAGGTTTTGCCACCGTATCAGGCTTAAAAATACACAAGGAATCACATTTGAATAATGGGGTTAATTGTGATGTATGTGGTAAAAAACTGGCCAATAAAAGAGTTTTGCAAAAACACATGAAACTCCACAATGTTAATGATGATTTAATCTTAGAAACTGTTGTGGACTTTTTTAATGAATAAAAATGTTAAAAGGTAAATGTGCCATCATTTTTGGAATATTTCTTTGAATTGCCTATACCTAGATTCATAAAACTACCTAAAACAGTTGGTTTTATATTTTTTTTTATCATAATGCAGGATTTTACTTTAATATAAATAAAAGATCTCATCAGTAAAGTACAAGCGATTGTGCTCATATTTAAAATGTAAAAAAAAAATATGCAGTGACATGTTTACAGTTTATAATTTTATATACATATGTTTACAAATAAATTCAACAACATGAGAGTAAAGTATTGATCAAATATAAATCAAAGAACAAGAAGGTAATATTTATGGACCACATCAATGACAAGGACCAAATCAAATTTAATTAATAGTCAAGCTAGTCTGTACCAAGCCTGCTATCGTCTATTATCATTCGCAAAAAGTTATGAACTTATTAAGTACTAAATTAAAGCCATGTTTTGATGATAAAATCAAGGTTAAGATTGTAGAAACAGCAATGGAAAGACAGTTGCTGATAAAGGTAATTAACAAGAATTTTCATGCTTATATACTACCAAATATGATAATAATTCTGACACATGTTAATTAATAAGCATGTTTTTTTATCTCATTAAGTTTATTTGATAATATCTTGTAAAATTATTTTTTTTAGTGATACTATGTTTTAGAGTTGCTACTATTTATTTACAATAAACAATAAAACATGAACAAACAAGACACACGAGTGGTTTTGATAAGTTTGCTGATAATTTTCCCTATACCAACAACTAAATTATACAAGAAATCCTTAACAAAAATAGCATTTGATTAATATAATACATAAATTGTGTAATTATGTGTCAAGCACGTAACTTTAATATTATTATCAACAATAGATATTAAAAGATACAGACAGAGACTTCTATTACCACTGGCATTTTTAGGGTTCCGTACCTAAACCGTTAAATGGGACCCTATTAATAACACTATATATTAATATACTGCTGTCTGTCACCAGGCTGCATCTCATGAACTGTGACAGACAATTGAAATTTTTGCAGATGTGTTTCTGCTGCCGCTATAATAGCAAATACTAAAACAATAAAATAAAAACATTTAAGGGGCTCCCATACAACAAACTTGATTTTTTTTGTGTTTTTATAGATACGGCACCCTTCGTGGGCGAGTCTTACTCACAATTAGCCAGTTTTTTCCTTTGCTTATTTCAGTCTTGGAGACATTGATGACAAATAAAAGAAATTGGATATTTATTAATCAGAAATTTACATCTCGGTATGCAGCTGAAGACATACATTGCATCTATAACTCATTAAATGTTTATAATAATATATTAAATTTTTAAAAATATATCTTAATTTATAATTATTCATTTTTCGCAGTAAACTCATAAATGATAATAGGTTGTGATTATTCTATTGTGTGCTATTATACATAATAGTAAGTGCATACAATTTGATAATTCACTTAACAGTACAATTTGATAATTCTATAGTAGGAGTAATTTTAGTGTGCTTCTTACTATGATTATAACCTGTAATTTTAGGTTGCAACACTATCTCTGGTTAGTGGACTATATCTGCAACTCTAATTTTAATAATTATCAGTTATCTTCAGATCCTACAAAGTCTTAATTTTACAGGTAGTTAAAAATTGTTACATCTATATTCTTGAATATTTTTACACACTCAAAATTATTTAAAGATATTGCATGAACTATATGATCAAACCAAATAGATTGTATTAATATTTGTCATTACAAACCACTGCCAAATGTATCATCAGGAAGAAGAACTATGTACATGCTTAGGTTTGGGGCACAATAATCCTCTGGATACTGTAGCTGACATATAAAACTGTAAGGTATATTTAACCTTACTTAAATGAAGGTTATGTCAAAGTCGTATTGCTCACACAATAATTTTCACCAAGATATTCAATATAAATTTAAATATTTAACAGCAATGTACTTTTGAGAAAAATATATTAACAAAAAATAATGCTTAAATCATGATATCGCTCTTTATATTAAATTTAAGAATGTTTTATCAAAATCAATAACAAGAATAATACAATAATCATTACTGCAGTAGACTTCCTCTTGGTACTTACTGCAGACATATTGAGTTGTTTACAGCTTTTAATAATAGTAGTGCAATAAACTTTTCTTACAATTTGATTAACAGGCAACTGTACTATATTGTCTATTTTCCCAAAATTTTATTCATTTGTTTATTCTGTTTCCCAATTTTTATATCTGCATCCTCAACTTTATCCTGTATGGTGTCTATAAGCTTATTTTGCATATCAATTTCTTCACCAAGAGCACTTCCTAGTCC